TCCTGGTTTACATCCGACTTTATCACCTAATGTTCCGGAGGAACTACTGCTGCCTGAATTTACCGATTCGGTAGCCCCATCCAAGATTACCCCAGTTCCGGAGACTGAATCTGAAGAATCTTCACCAGCCAAGGGTTCCAACATCCCTTCTACTCCGATTAGAGCGGATTCACCAATCATAGATTCACCTAATCAGACGCCACCTCGACCGAATCTTTCCATTCACAATTCTCCTTCTGTTTCATCTCCGGTCTATCCTAAGGTTCGGATTCCACTGAGTGCCTCAATTCATGCTCCGAGGTTAGCCGTCGAGTCTCCGAACCGTTTTGAACAGTTACGGGATTTGGTACCAGTCACTCCGCCCCAACGATATGATGTTTATCGTGAGACTGATGTATTGGACACTCCGTCTGATCCATCGATCCATTCATCGGCTCCTTCAGTAAATCTCTCTCCTACTCCTAATCGCACGGAAACAGAAGATTTTCAGAAACCAATTTCAATTAACTCATCTCCCTTATCATCCGTTTCCTCCGTCCGGGTGTCGTCTAGGTCTGGAACTCCTAATCAACCATCAGACCAACAGCCACTGGATGAATTGGTTCAACAAGTTGAACCGGTTGTGAAGTCTTCTCCCTCTCCCGAACCTTCCCCGATTCCAACACCTCAGCCATCTCCGAGACCACCATCACCGCCTCCACAGCCTATACCTCCTCCAGCGCCTACACGCCGCTCTGGACGTACTAAAAAGGCGCCTGTTCGATACGGTTTCCCTTCGACTTCTGTGGCAACTACCTCCCAATTTGGTCCAATGATTGTTACTAATACAAGATCAATCATCCCTGATCGTTGGGGTTTCTCTGCGACCACTGGAACGGATCCCGACAGTCCAACCTATACTCAGGCGATGGCTAGTCCAGATAAACAAGCCTGGCTTCATGCGATGGAAGAGGAGTTCAAGTCTCTCATGGACCATTCTGTTGGAAAGCTGGTCGATCCTCCTCCAGATGCTAACGTTCTTGGGGGGATGTGGATCTTTAACAAGAAGCGAGACGAGCACAATCGAGTTATACGTTTTAAAGCTCGTTGGGTGGTTCTTGGTAATCATCAGATCAAGGGCCTTGACTATAATGATACCTATGCATCGGTCGGCAAGATTGACTCACTACGAATTCTACTTGCTTTGTCAATTGCTAGAGCCATAGGTAACAGACGTACTAGGCGAATGAAGATCCGTCAATTTGATGTTGTCACTGCTTTCCTCAACAGTGGTATGAAAGACCTCGTATATGCTCGACAAGTTTTGGGTTTTGAACATCCGACTCAAAGACATCGAGTATGGTTGTTGATCAAATCTCTCTATGGAACGAAACAGGCTGCTCGTCGTTGGCAACAACACTTCGGAGCGACAACAGCCGGTTTTGAAATCTATCCCGTCTCGTCTGACTCAGCCGTCTATGTCTTGAACTGCGCTCTTGGACTACTCATATTACATCTTCACGTCGATGACTCATTAGTGTTTTGTGACAATGATGAGCTTTTCTTCAAATTTCAAACCTTCATCGATTCCAAATACAAACTCAAATGGACCGATCGACCCACATTATACCTTGGGATAAAGCTGGATATTGCTGAAGATGGTTCTTACATTAAAATCTCCCAATCTCACTATATAGAGTCTTGTCTTGAACGATTCGCCATGGTGAACTGCAGGCCGGCGAAAACACCCCTTCCTCAAAAGACTCTACTGACCCCTGGATCGACTGAAGATATCGAAGCAGCCAAAGACATACCTTATCAAGAACTCGTCGGCTGCCTTCAATGGATCTCTGCCTGCACCCGTCCAGACATTTCTTATGCTGTATCACAACTCTCAAAGTATAACTCAGCATGGACGGTATCTCATTGGATGGCTGCTAAGCACGTTTTACGATACTTACGGGGTACCCAAGAGCTTTCAATTACTTACTCTGGGGGGACTGATGAACCTCAAGCTTACTCGGATTCGGATTTTTCACAATGCTCATTAACTTGGAAATCTGTAACCGGTTACGTCATAACTGTATCAAATGGCGCAGTGTGTTGGAAGTCTCAGCGTCAATCAATTGTGGCTCTATCAACTTCTGAAGCTGAATATGTAGCTGCGACCGAATGCTCTAAACATATGGCTTGGGTTCGTTCCTTTTACTTCGACATCATGCATCAGTTAGAAGAACCTTCACCTTTCTACATAGACAACACATCGGCAATCTTTACAGCAACCGGCGATGGTCTAAAGTCAAGATCCAAACACATTGACCGAAGATTTCATTACATTCGTGATCTTATTCAATCAAATCAACTCAAAATCCATCATATTCCGAGTGATGAAATGCTAGCCGATCATTTAACAAAACCATTGGGTCCTCAAGGAATTAGTCATGCTCTGGAATTGAATCACATGATTTAGAAATGTTCTTGAAATAGGGGGGATGTTAAAGTTATCGTTTCATTTATGTATTACATATTACATTTCACAAGTCTGAAACTCAAATGTTGCTATTATTTCATATCTCATTTACTAATATTCATGTGTAGCGCATAAGACCATATGTATGTTGTTTGTTAAGATTCTCATCATTATTAACCTAGTTTGTATTCTCAACTATATCATGTAAACCTCGAAGAGCAACGAAGAAAGCCTCCCTCTTCATCCAAGATATTCTTTTACTTTCTTGGGTGAAAGGTGAGTAGCTCATTCGTGGGATTTTGATTGTAGTTCATTAGATCTGTTCTGAACTTAAATCATCCCTGCTCTGACAGGTATGCTTCTCATTCAAATTTCTTCATTTTCATATCTTAATGTTTTCTTTTATTGTGATGGAAATAAAACTGATCCAAGATATTCTTTTACTTTCTTGGGTGAAAGGTGAGTAGCTCATTCGTGGGATTTTGATTGTAGTTCATTAGATCTGTTCTGAACTTAAATCATCCCTGCTCTGACAGGTGAGTAGCTCATTCGTGGGATTTTGATTGTAGTTCATTAGATCTGTTCTGAACTTAAATCATCCCTGCTCTGACAGTTGTAACAGAAGTCTCTCGAGCGTTCATTCCGTAGCACTCCTTCGGTTGTGGTGTTATCGGTTAGGACCAGGAATCGACCTCCTTCTACTTTCTTTAGCTTAATCAGTGTTAAGAGACCCAATCGAACTGCGACTGTTTCAAGCCAAGCAATGCCTCTCTTTGGCTGGTTTTCTGGTCTGTCCCATCCTGGAAGTAATTTAAACTGGGACCATTCCTTTCCTATAATGATGCCTATCCCAAAAGATGTGGATGCATCTCCAACCCATCCCACGTTTGTGATTTCTCTTTTCTTTAGTAAGAATCGGTTCGGAAAATTCTGAAGGGCATTCATCCAAACGTTTAAGTCACCTCGTGTGGCCGATGCCATCTTCCTCTTAGCATATCTATCATGCCACTCTGCCACCCATCTAAAACTGCTGGAAAGGTAACATCGTAGTTGAGGTAAGATGTAGGAGACGTGACTTAGACGGCCATTCATTTTTTCCACCTCTTTAAATGAGTAATCAGTCTTCCCTAGAAAGTTGCTTAGTTGGTTGATTCGTTGTTGTAGTTTGGGAATAGGTAATGACACCGACTTAGTCCGAAAGTTCCATAAGAAACCTATGTATTTCTGCTCATCTGCAAACTGAGAAAACTTCTTTTCATTTGTTTTTACCCCCAGTTTTGCACTATACTCTACTATCTCGTCCATGTTTACCTTGTTAGATTTTTCTTTGATGAGTAGATTGTCATCTACCCATCTAAACGCTTCTTTTAATCTGAAATGCTTCTTCACTAGGTCCTTCCACCCGTCTGCTGGACCACCGAAACTACCGCAACCTCCAACTCCTCCAAAGGATATGCATGTGTCTACGTATTGGAATCCGAGGAAACATGTTAACAGGAGATACGGCCACTGACTCGGTAGGGTACCTATTTGACGGTAGGCCTTTTCCCAGTCGAAAAGGCCTGCCTCGATAGGAGTTTCCACGTCTGCTACAAACTCAGACACTATTGAGAAATTATCCCAAGTTGTCTTAAAGTCTTCCTTGTCTACAAACGAGTTGACGCTTGGGATTTCGGGATCATTTTTTGGAAAAGAAAGATCGTTAATCGGCCTAAACGAACCGTCTCCGTTCGTTACTGCTCCCATCGGGCTTGATCGAAAGAAGGGGAATCTTGTTTGTAACTCTTCTGTTGTGAACGGGCCAAACATTCTGCCTTCATTAACTTCTTTTTTAATGTTCTCCATGATTTTTTCTCTAACTTCTTCTGACGATTTGTGATTTTGTGGGCAATAGAAAGGTAGATTTCCTATTCTATGATCGGGGATTCCTTGGTCAAAACCGTTCCTAAAACCATCTAGGACAAAGTCATATTTAGGTAACAGATCGTATCTTTTTAATTCTGCTTCCCATAGTTCAATGTTCATGTCACAAGTCGGTCCTTTTGGCCATCGTGAGGATACGGATTCTTCTATCATCCTCAATCTAGACTGTCCTAGAAGGTTCCTATATTCAGGTTCTGTTTCTTGGTTATCTAGATCCTTCGGATTGTTGCAATCGCGAGTTTCCTTTCCGGATCGAGTCTCGTCATTCGATCTCAATGAAATTTTGGGACTGAACACGAAATGAAATGAGAACACATGATGTCATTACTGGTGCGTCTTAGTCTTTACATCTAACATAAGGTTTTTAGTCTCTAACACGTATCATACAATGTCTTCTTTAACCATTGTTAAGCAATTACATTTTTAGTAGATCGTATCATGTGTGTGGGGAATTCGGTAAGGACAGTCGATTGAAAAGGATAAAGGACTTATAACAAATTCTCCCTCTTGGGAGAGTGAATTCGAGGCACAATCAAGAAAAAGGAATCTTTGAAAAAAATTTTACTACTATTTCCTTTATAAAGGAGGGAAAAAGAACTAGTAATGTGATCACTCGCTAGTAAATCGCTTACATATGGCGTGCTCTTCCTCTGATGTTAACCGCGCTTCCTCTACCTCTACGAACTCCACCTCTGTTCGTCCTATGGTTTCCCTCTTGCGCCGGTTCGCGTCTTGCGGGTGGTAGCATTTCGATAATATCTGGGAGGCGTGGGCCTCTCGGTAATCTCGGGATTCTTCTACTGTTGGAGGAGGAGTTTTGTCTGGTCAACTGTCCTCTTCTCTTCTTAGACTCTCTTGCTGCTGATCTAACATAAGGTAAAGGTATTAGTTACTATCTTATGTGTAGGTAGGTGAAGTTGACTCTTACTCCTCCCACATTCCCGTGATTGGGTCTCGATGTTCAAACCTGGCTCCTTTTGCATAAGGATTTTCATTACCAAATGAAAACTCGCCTTGTCTAGTTGCTTTTTCTTTTGCTGCTCGTTCGAAGCTTTCTACATAAATACTCGCATCTGGTACGGGAACTCCTTTCCCTCTATGGCCAAAAAGCTGTTCACGAAACATTATATCGTATCGTAACGCCACCATCCAGCATTCAGTAGCTTCCCTATTTTGAAGCGAGTTAGTTCTATTTCACTTTTTCTTCATGTCATCCTAGCTAGTAGGTAGTTATCACGTACTTTATGTCTTTTACATGCTTCACGTGCGTCTTCAACTGGTTTGCCAGTATTGAGAAATTGTACGTTTTCTTCAAGTATCTTCTTAGTAGGGTTATCCCATCGATCCATTCTCCGAAGGACATGGAGTATTCGGAAGGGGGGGTGAGACCTCTGTTTCGATTAGACTTAGACGTCGACGATGCTGGTTGGTTCTTTCTACTTTCTACCTTGTCTTTCTGAACAAAGGTAGGGTTGAGGACTGTGAGAGGAACGCTTTCGGAAAGAGTTTTCATTGCCTCTCCCCAATAGGTCTGCAGCGTAGGCAACATCGATTTGCAGGGTTCTCCTTTCTGAAACTTTATTCCATTCTCTTTCTTGATATCTTTCTTGTTACTGGAAGACTTGACCTTTGAAGAGGTAGTTCGTTTCCCATGTTTCGACATGGCTTTCCTGTCTAATGAAACAGGAAAAGATGGTAACCCAAGCTTAACTGGACTATCTTGTTATCACTATTTTAATGGATCATAGTCACTACACACCTTTCAGAGCTAGCTTCTTTTCCGCTAATCGGGCTTTCGCTTTTTCTCGTGCGCGCATAGCTTTCGCTATGACTTTGTCGATAGCTTTCAAGGATTTTCTGTCACCTGTTCATCAAATAACAGTTTTTTCATTAGATCATATGTCTTTCCAGTGGAGGGCACCACCTGGATTTGTGTGTAACACATAGACTACACGTCTCTTCCCGTATTCGGGGCGCTCAAACAGTGGGAGCTGGTGGTAGGAGTGATTTTTCGGACTGTTCTTACGTTTGTTACCATTTTTGATGGTTTCGTTGGACTCCCCTGTATCACCTTCCTCTTCAGACGAATCTTCGGACGAACTTCCAGAGGATGAGTCCTCGTCTGATGATTCCTTTGTCGACTCATCTGATGATGAATTCTCAGGATCAGACGAATCGTCTTGAGATGATGATGACGAGTCTGGATCAGATTCTTCATTTTGCGCATCGTAAGTGTCGTCTTCTGAATCTTGATCTTCATCTTCATCATAACTTTCATGATCACTCTCCATTGATCTAGCTACTGCGTCTCTTCTTTCTTCCTCTATGGCTTCACCATCTAACTATTCTTCTACAGGATTATCGGTACCTTCCATCTCATCAACTGGTGCACGTTGTTCGAGGTTGGTAATATTAGAGGAAGGTGGGGCTATAGCTACCGCTCCTTCTTCCACTTCTTCACCTCTGGTACGTCTTGTAATTCGAGTTGAAGAGTTGGGGTTAGCCATTTCGTTTTCTGAATTAAGTTGATAACGGAAAGGTAGTGACGGTGAATTACTAGAAACTAATGAAAAACTTGAGTTATGAATTAGATAACAATTTTAATTGTAGGAAAATTTTAATTATAAAGATGAATATGCTAAATGAGAGGAGATCGATGTAACTTATAAGATAAAGGATGTAGGAAAATCGAGAGAAGATTCAAAAATTAAATGATGATGATAGACTTATAAGAAAATTTAAATGATGATGATAGGCTTATAAGAGAAATGATGCAGGGAAATTCGAGCGCCTATTCAAAAAATAGAAATTTATATTTCTTATTTCTTACAATTGTAGATAACTTGTAAGTGATTAATATCAATATAGGGGAATTGATAATTATTAGAGTTCCTAGACTAAATTGAATCAGTGGTAATAGATGGTTACTGTAGTCTTTAGAGGGTAGAAGTAAAAATTCTTAAAAGGAAAGCTACTAGGAGCGAAAAGGAGAAGGAGGTAGAGCTTCTCTTCTATATGACTCGAGCCTTCTTTCCAACCTCTTGTTTAGTGAAGTAATACGGTGTTTCTCTATTAGGTCATCTTGTCGTAAGTCCGTCACTCCTGAAGGGAACTCGTGGATTATCTCTCCTTTGGGATGGATTCTTACACGACTTTCTCTTCTCTTTTAATGTCAATTTCTTGATTGTCATTTCTTTTTGGATCACGTTTACATGGACTAACCCCACATTTCGTGCCTCATGTGAAGACATAGAAATAGGAAAGAATACATGGTTATTCTGGGGTTGAAAGCCAACTGGGCATTGTTCGGGTGAAAGGCACACCGATATACAGCAAGAAATAAAAATAAAAAAACAATTGTTGGAATGATTCATGTGTGGTCATTCAATATCTGGGTCCAAAAAGAATCTACGGATTGTTCGGTTGAAAGCCACACCGATATACAGCAAGAAATAAAAAAAAAGAACAAGCGTGGAATGATTCATGTGTTGTCATTCGATATCTGGTTATTCTGGTTCCGAAAGGGTCCTATAAATTTTAAAAAAAATATTGTGGATTGATACATGTTTGGTCATCCATCGGTTGCACTTCACGTCAAATAAGTCATCTTTCCCATCCACGTATTGGAAACATCGTTAAACTGGGGTCCAGCGTATCTTGTGAGCTGTACCGATTTCTGAGCCATTTCGAACAGAAATAACGCGCGCACGCACGCGTTGGCCAGCTGGAATGGAGGGAAAAGTATAGATCAGTGAACATCTGTGATCCGTTGCGAAAAGAGACTTGAAGATACTCACGTGGGAATCGGAGGCCATAAGTTCCGGAGATACGACCACTCCCAACGCGGCCAAAGCAATGGTAGCACACCCCTCCAGAGCGTCGTAATTTCTTGTGAGTGACTTGTTTGCCAGTGACCGTGGAGCGTGGTTTCGCGGCTAGGACCATTGCTTCCCCGGCTACCACGTTTGGTGGAAGTTAGTTTCGCGGCTTTCGAGAGTGAACATGGAATTCCAAGTACTTACTGGGCTCATCAAGCTCATCAATTTCATCTGATTCGTCTCCCGAGACTACTGACGCTTGGATTTGACTGCTCGCTTTTAACGAAGCTAGATACCCAGCAAACCAGAATGTTAGTTATTCTCCTTTTTATCCATGCGCGTAACAAGAAGAAGACTTACCCTTTTCTTCCGCCGCTTCCAGGAGGGCAATGTCGTCGGACGACAATTGCATAATATCTACCTCGTCTTCTTCCACTTCGACTAAAACACACCACTCGCTGATCAGATGAAGTTTCTCCGCGTCAGGAGATGAGAACGTACCAGCCTCCGAAAGGCTCGCCACAGCGAGTTGTTCATCAGTCAATCTGAGCTTGTTGATGCTATACGACCGGCCGTTGTTCGTTCTCCGCCAAAAGGGAAAATAAGGTGCCCCATACTTTTTCTTGCTAAGGCAGGGTTTACGGTGACCGAATTTTCCACACACAAAACACTGTTCCATACCAGCTCTAACACATGGATGAGCCCGAGCGGTGATTGGTAGTGGGTAAATTTCAGACTTGGCGCGCGCGTCCAAGGTGTTCAAGAAGGCAAGATCATCTGGAGTTGGATTCTTCCAATTGCGAAAAGGTGGCATGACGAGGAACAAAAGACACAAGGAAAGAAGAGACACGGAGAAAGAAAAGACACAAAGATAGAATGAATCGACGAAGAGAGACATCCAGTGACAAAATGATGAGTTTTATATTCGGTCTTTCGACACGATGACCTGAACACGATCACGATCACCTTCAGCTGAATAAGATATCCATTCCCGGCACAAATCTTGAATGTTGACTCATCAGCTTCGCTGAGCATACCATATGCCAATATCAATTAAGCAGTACAACCATAGTTTGTCACGTATATATGATGTCTTCCTTTTTTCGGCGATCAAACCATTACTTCATCACACATATGATTAAAATTTATGTATTACGTATTCATGCCACCCTTGCCAACTGAACAATGTGCCCATCCCTCAATGCAGCCATCATCAATCAACATAATTAGCCGCACAAGAAACAAAGAAGGTGGAGACGTCTGCAAGTTTAAGTTTCGGCCACAATTTTGAGGGCAAACATACCCAATTAACAAACAAGCGCGAACTTGTCAACACGTAAAATATATCCGATAGGAACACAACGCGTCACGAGATCACCAAACAACCATCAAGCGCGAACTTGTCAACACGCAAAGATATGAGATACATAAGATCACAACGCGTCACGGGAATGAAGGAAGAACAGAATCTAAGTTAGCGTTTTAGATAGGTGGAACCGTTTGGCAACCAGGAATCGAGGCGACAAAAAGATGGCCAAACGAAATCAACTGCAAATCCCTTATCTTCAGGAGATATGGTAGCCCAATGTGTTTCGCAAATGTCGCTGAAGAAGTTTGTATCATATATGTAGAGCTCGTTGATCAATTCAGCCAGATCCGGCCGAGCCAAAGCAATAATATTAAGTTTGATTAACGCTACTACCCCACTAACACTACGCCAAATTGCAAATTTACCGTGGAGTTTAGAAAATTGAGTAGACATAGAAAATTATAGAGAAGCTGGCAAGGGTCAGAAAAATATGAACAAATAATGGGAGGGCCCTTTGATGCATTCTGATTGTCTGGCATATTTTTTCATATTTCTAAAACCACAATGCATATAACACTACACAAAATATAATATCTCCTGGGCAGAAAATATAAAAACCAACAAACAGTGATATTGAGCAGTCTTGGAGAGAGACAAAAATACACAAAAATATGCATATTTTTCCTATGGCTGAGACCTTGGATTTGAGTATTTTTTTGTATTTTTTGTGTGAGAATTGTTGATTGTACTAACAAAAAACCTCCAGGATTGTTAGATTACAACCTGTAACAGACATTGGAGGGCATAATTTGAATTCAACAATCCCTTATATCTTTGTCAATTCTTGGTCAGACCACTTGATTTTTTGCTCATTGGAAAGCCAAACTCTGTGACTATATCTTTCATTGAGACAAAAAACCTGCATCTAATCCCAAAGAATATCTATGTGGATATATAGGAAATTGTTTCGAAGACAAATAGGTTTTTTTGTAGCGGAGCTACAGATTTGATGCATTAACATAACATTCAAATGCATTTCATGGCTTCCTAATCAGATAACTATCAAGTGTTTTGACCCAGAATTGCAAAAGATATGAGGGATATAGAATTCCAGATATCCCCTTGTCACCCCTTGGCCAAATTCCAATCTGTGTTACAGGTTGTAATCTGAGAAACTGGGAGGTTTTTTGTTAGTACAGTCAACAATCTGCACACTAAAAATACAAAAAAATACTCAAATCCAAGGTCTCAGCCATAGGAACAATATGTGTATTTTTGTCTCTCTCCAAGACTGCTCAATATCACTGTTTGTTGGTTTTTATATTTTCTGCCCAGGAGATATTATATTTTGTGTAGTGTTATATGCATTGTGGTTTTAGAAATATGAAAAAATATGCCAGACAATTGGAATGCATCAAAGGGCCCTCCCATTATTTTTTCATATTTTTCTGACCCTTGCCAGCTTCTCTATAATTTTCTATGTCTACTCAATTTTCTAAACTCCACGGTAAATTTGCAATTTGGCGCAGTGTAACTCGAATCCGCTTCCATAATCTAACCAAAGCATGATATCACTAAAACTGAGAACGCGCTTGTATCCTGAAATGTGACTCACATCCGTAAACCAGCTTGGTACCAATGCTTACATACCCTTGTAAGGTGTACTGGTTGACATCCCTGGCCGCGATTAGGAATACGACCGGGGATTTGGGTGAATATATTGATTAGGATGTGCTCAGGGAGATTCGCCCATGAAATGTGAGACATGATGTTGCTGAGCCGAAATCAAGAGTAGCCGATGAACAAATTTTCGACCCAGTTTGTGGGATGTGGCAGTTGCAAGAAAAAATTCCTTTTGGACGCGCCTTTATAGTCCCCATTCTCACCCACAAGGACCAAACGTCCGATGATATTACGTATGAGGATGTATACACAGCCCAACGAGCCCCTGAACGAATCTCGAAGCGGATGATCAGGAGGGGCACACGTTTGATTCCATTTCCCAGGAATTTCAGACAGCATGTACGTCAAGAGAAGTGGGACTTTCTGCTCAGTACAGCGGAGGACCTTTTTCCTCGACTCTGAACCTGCCAATGTAGTACATGTGTCTCAAACGCGACGGACTGAAATATGATGCATTACGCACATCTTCGGACCCAAACCATCCAAGACTTCATTACTAACAAGACACCAACACCCCAAGAAATCCCACAAACAACACATGAGATGATGAGACAGAGCAGAAAACATTTCGGACACGCGCACAAGTTTCAACAACACAAGATAAGAGCAAAAACAAAAAAAAGACTCCCAAATCTGCCCAAGTCCAGAGCCACGCCATCCATCAGGCTACGAGTCCTTGATGATATCATCATCAGCAGCAGGAGCTGCTTCATCATCGGTAGAATCGTATAAAGACCCAAAATCTCCATCGGAGTAGCAATCAGATTCATCAGAAGTCTCCATGTTGGCAGCGGTGAGAGGGACGCCAGGTCCATTTGATAGTTCCTCGTCGTGTTCGTCATCGTCAGCATCATCGTCATCCTCCAGATCATCCAAAGCCTCTCTGTATGGTTCGGAGCGACTCTTGAGGTATTTGGCGGTGAAGGCAGAATCAGAAAGTTTTTCGTCGGGGTGAGGAGTAGGAAGAAGAGATTGTGACACATCAGGGAGGAAAGCCACTTGCCCAGCATTCGGAATGAGCCGCTTTTGACCAGCATTGAGTTGAGAAAACCACTGGGGATCGTAAAAATCGATTGGTAATTCTTTGGGAGCTCTGGTGAATATAGATGGGAGGGGATCTCTCGGCAGTCTGCGCGGCTCTCTCTTGACAGTTTTCCCAGAGATCTGATCGGCCTTTTTCATTTCTATGTCGAGTCTTCTGAAAAATTTCGAGGTGTTTTTCGAGCGGTACGGTAACGTCTTGATAACGCGGTAAGTTCCATCGGGATGTTCTTCATCATCGCTATGGGCAGCGATTTCTGAACAAATCTTGATATATCGTTGATGGTTGGGCCTTTTACGATTGGTATCTTTTTCAAGGAAGGCCAGGCGATGCTGCATGGTCTAAGTCACAATGAAACGTCAGTACCACTTCAAGAGTTTGTGAATTTATGAGTACATTGGCAAACTAACCCGTTCCCGATGTTTCTGGATATTCTTCCTTACAGAAAGCTCATGAACTTTCCCGGCTTCTTTCATTTCGGTCTGAAGCTTCCTAGCTGACCAGTAGTGGACAAAATGATTGTAAGTAGCGATAAAAAGTGACATCGACTCGGCGTATTTCGGGTTGACGTTGTAGAACTTATAACCCAACAAGGGTTATACAGAGCTGGAAGAGGATAATCCACTAATAAAATGACTAGTAGAAGTTGTCTAAGGACTGCTCTTCTAAAACAACACAATCAGAAAGAGCTCTGTTGTATTGAGTACTGATAAGGCACCAGAGAAATATATCTTCACACGTAATTTAACTTCAAAAGCACACTTTGTATTACTATCAACACTGCTATAGTGTTATTCCCAATTGATAACTAAAAGAAATAAGCAATATCTGATTGATATTATTCCCAATAAGTCTTTATGACTATAAAACTAAAGTAAATTTCTCTTTATAATTTGTAATAAAGGGCGTATTTAAGTGACCAGGTACTATTAAAATAAGTTTATAATGATAAACAAAATAATAATGGCGTAAATGATAAAGAAAAAAAGGGGAACAACAGTCCCAAAACCCTCTCAAAGTATATATAACAATGTACTAGAACTTTTACAATGGTCAACAGCCTCAAAACCAATCAAATCCGCCCAAAATTCCCTAAAAACCCTATGATGACGCAATGTAATGATTTTGTTACTAATAAATGATGTAATTTTCACAGCTAAAAGTGATAAATGACGCAATAATATGATGTACAGCACTTCTTATGATGAATACAGGTGATTTTTTCCTTGTAAACTAGCTGAAAACCAATTTTTGAGATTACGAATTTTTTCAGATGTGCTCCAATTTTTGATTACTAAAGTGCATCTTGTAGCCCACGTGTTACTGATCATTTCTGACACCTACATGACCTACTTCTGATGAGTGATGAGTAAGATATTGAGTTGTGAAGTTAAAGTTTTTAGTGTTACATGTGACTTGTGACTGTAAATTCGAGATTCACACCAATTCTTTATTTGCCTTATAACTTTTTACACACACCTCCATTACTAATGATTTAAAGTTTGTACATTATGTAATCCACTCTTCTGCGTTGAATGAGCCATCTACCAACCTATTCTGACGTCATTTGACATATGTAATTAGCTGAAAACCTCCATTTTCCACGAATTTCACCCATTTTCTTCACTTTTCACAGCTACTACTCTGTTTTTCTTGCTCTTGTAATATGACATCATCATCTATAACCTTAAAAATCCCAAAAAATCCTCTTGGCAACCTTAAATTCAATCACTACCACTATTACACAACCAAACTACACGTGTACCTCTTGTTTACCAACTTCGAAAAAGTGCCTTTTCCCTAATAACTTCTGTTTCTACTTATCAACCTTGAAGATTAAAATTGTCATAGTATAATATAATGTTTTTCTTTCATATTCTAACCTCATAATACCCATAACTTTATTTTTACTAACCTAAAAACCATTTTCCAACCTTTGTACCTATAATTTCGAATTTTTCTTATGTTTTTCTTTCTTTCTTTTTGTAATAAATTTGTAAGTAAACTATAATGATCTTAATATATAATGTGAAATAAAAATGATGTAATGTTGACCTAATGACCAATACATAAGCCTACAAGAGCTTCAATTGATCAAAAACCTCCATTTCGAATTTTCTTTCCTGCTGAATCCTGCTAATAAACTGGTAAACTGGTAATTGTGAATTTTTTAATTGATCCCATAAATTGATCACCACAACGTTCATGTAGTTGAAGGCCCCCGATGCAAATAGCTGGCGAAACGTGGTGAGGGCAGTGATTCGACAGGCAGAGTTGTAGAGGGAATCGTGGGAATCGAGGAGGTCAGGAGCCCAAACACGGATCCCCACCTTAGCTAAGATTCCATGAATGAACAAAATGTACATTTGGTCGAGGTTGGCCATTCCGCGTCCCATCTTGGTGCGATTATTGCCAGTACGCAAGTCTCGCAGGGTCCTGATGTCGTTTTGAGCAACAAGATCAGCGCTTGAGGGGTCTGCAACCACGGATTCAACCTCTTCTGCGGACGAAAATCGTGTGTAGAATTCTTTCAAGAGTTCGGGATCGACGATGGGAGGGACATCATTGGCCTTGAATAAGCCCCATAAGACCTTGATGTGGAAGTAAAGTGCGTCCTGTAATTCATCAAACGTAAGCAAGACAAGCGTGAGCTGATGAAAGTCATGTGCAGAAATTCAACACATACCTTGGTAGTTTGGTAATCTTTGTGAATCTGTCTTGATGTCATTTGCAATGGATGTCGTTTGCGTTCAGAAGAGGCGGCAGGAGGCTTGTTAGAAGGTACCGGGGTCTTTGATTTGCGCGGTGCTTTGACAGCAGGTGAGGGAGTCGTAAACGGGTTTTGAGAGGATGAACTTCTCAAACGGTCTCGGTTGGATGAAGTGTCCGGGGTGGTGTTCGACGTAGACTTCTTCTGACGCGAGGATTGGCCGCTGAGATCCTTGAACTCTTCAAGTTGAGCTCTTAAACCACTGATAACATTTTCGAATTGAGCTGCTTGAGCCTGCAAGCTCTGTTGGATCATTCCCGCTACAGCTTCGGGTGTAAGACCAGTGGCGGTGGGTGGGACGTCTGAACCATCGTATTGAGATTGCATAGTTACGAAAAATGGATGGAAGTGAGGATATGAAGATGAGACGAAGGTTAATGAACCGAGTATGATGGAAAGGGGAGGAGTAGGCTTCTTTCCGAGGGACGTGCTACGAGCTCCTTTTATACTCAACATGAGAGAAAAAAAAACGGTTAGCCTTGTTCAAACATTCGACCGAGAAACCTGAGCTCAGGGGTTGCCAACTCACCAACAAATCGGGTTAGATTGCCGAGCCAAAAGGGGAACGACGTAGATTTGTCAGGCGGTTCGCTCATGACGGATGCGTGGCAGCCTATGAGAAAAAACAGTACAATTAGGCTTGTTCGAAGTATCGACGGAGGATCCTGAGGCTATGCTCAGTGGTTGCCAACTCACGGTAGGTTGGGGTAGACCGTCGGGGACTGCCGAGTCAATCCATAAAGGGAAACTGGTAGGTTGTCAGGCGGTTCACTAGGTCGAGGAAATCCGAAGTTGTAGAATGGACCCTGAGGCCGTGGTCCGGATCGAGTGGAGGTATGTACTAGAGGCGTAGACTGCTGAGCGAAAAGGAAGGAAATCTGGAGTGGTGTATTCCGAGGTCGGGGGTGTCTCATGCGGTGACGAGGTGTCGCAAACAAATGGAAAGTGTAGCATAAAAAAAAACTTGACGCAGGCGAGAGCGACCTGTTGCAAAAAAATTCAACCTGTCGCACACATGACAGGCTGTGAAACGTCAACTGGACGTTTCACCGCGTGCGAAACGTCCAACTGTCGCAAACATGTTTGCGACGTCGATTTGCCCACAGTGTCAACGACTTCAGCAGTGACCTGGTTACCGATATGTTGCCGTTCGAATCTCTCATGCCTCATTTTTTTGACCTTTGATGTTGAAACTGTTCCCATATGACAATTTTTTGACGCAGCGGTCAACGCGTTTAAGATGTTTTCTACACGCTCACAACAAAAACACAGTGATTTCAAAATTAAAAAATATGATGACTTGAACTTTGACTTCAAGATTGAGGGAAAGACCCTCTAAAAAGAGGGGCATGCGGACTTGAACCCAAGAGTCCTGATCAGGTGCCACGCTGGTAACTAGACGTGCTAATCGCCACTACATGCAAAGTGCTAATCGCCACTACATGCAAAGTGCTGACCCCGCGGATGCGGGGTCGCGGTGACGCCGCACAAAACCCAAGGGGGGGGTCTTGCAAAGGCGGGGGGTTGAGCCGGGGTCAGCGCGACGCCGCACCCGCGGCGTCACCACCTTGCATGTAGTGCGCAGAGCGACATAACCTTGAAGGATGTGGTGGAAAAGGTATATATAATCAAAGCCGATATGCTTCTATACGAGAATATATGAGAGCCTGCGGGTCACTTGTTCAATTAGGAGTTTGACAGCTGTCAATACACCTGGCTTCTGTACGCAATGATTGTCAACACAGTTCAAGTCCAAAATTGAGTTTTGAACGAGTTTTTGCCTGGCGAGTTAAAACTCCACCACCGGCTACTCATACAGCTGGTACTCAGACAGTAGTCTGGGCACCCCTGTATGGCTGTCTGAGACACTCTTTCCCTACCAGCCTCGACCAGGCGCGGCCAGACCAGTTCAAACCCTACTAAGGACTTAACCCCCCCACCCCAAAAGTCAAACCCCACCCCAAGTACCGTCTGAGGTACCGGTTCACCCTCGATTCCATGAGCCCGACCTCAACTTCACTCTGTAAGTCAACACCCACGACGGCTCAAGTCCGCCATTCGACACCTTCAGCATATCTCAATCAACTCAATCAACTACCACCAAGGTTCGAGTCAACCATTCTCGTGGAATAGATAGAAGACCATCCATCCAAACATATCATATCAATACGATCCAACCAATCTCCGCTTAACAACTCCGACTCCGATATCCACCGGCTCAAAACAAATTACATCACAATTAGGCGTACGGTGGTCGTAAGGTTTACTCATTTGTCACATTCAAAATTGTACGTATATATGTCTTTATCATCTTGTTTGCTTCTGTCCATTTTGTTTTGTGATCCATACTGATCTTCCTATTTTTTGCTTTCATCACATTTTTCATTCGGCTATCTTTTTCATTTGACTACCTTTTTCAATTGATTATCTTTCTATTTTTTCATTCGATTATCTTGCCGTTTCCAATGTTTCCTTTCCTCTACGACCAGCCAAGAGCTGCCATGATCTCCATGCTTGAACGTGCTGCGTCAGCACTGTTTGATCAACAACAACAAACCAATTCCCTACCCGATCCCACACAAACTCAGTTACCTTCCTCTCACCAAACCAACAACGCGAACAACAATGTCTCCACATCCAACCGAGTCAATAATCGGACTTTGATGAATAACTTTCTCAATAACGGCATCATCAACACGTCCACTGCTTCTAACCAGTCTACTACGATTATCGACCAGACCAAGGCTCCAATTTCGAAAGAGCGCATGTTAAGCATGACCTCTGAGGAATTGCGCTGCCTTGCCGAGAAGAACTCCACCGCTGGAATCAATAAGGACCAGATGGACAAGCTGATCGCTTTCCACGAAAGTCAACAGCATGCGCTTGCCATGATGGCCCTCGAAATTGGGGTATCTGTTTCAGCTATTGAAGCAACTTGGTAAGTGGGCAGTTTTTTCAAGACGACATTAAATCCAATCACAATTCCACAATTCCTAACATCTTCACCATCTTGTCTTTTTAGGGGTAAGTGTATCGCAGTCCGAATGGCCACAGCATGGAACCGATTCTTGCAGAGCGACAAGGCTAAGCAGCTATTTAAAATACGTAAGTAACTATTTCACTGACGCTACACAGAGCCTTTGCTTACATCTTTGTGTTCACGGGTCAGATGGAGGTGTAGCAAACGGTCAGGCCATGAGCGAGCTTTCGAGGATGTGGAAACACATGTCACCCGAGGCGAAGGCAACATTCAAGGCTCCATTGCCCGATGTGGACCTTGACTTTGGCGACAAAATTGTTAGCAACAAGAGAGCACGTCAAATCGTTCAGCCTCGAACAGTCCTCAAGGCTAATCCGACCTCCTTGCAAAAATCAGAAAAGCAAGTTCAAACGTTCTTGACTAACATTATTGCCCAGGTAATGAGATAAACCTGTCATTATTATCTTACTCTGATATATGTACATAAACTGACTTATTAAATATCCAGGCAACTCCCATTGCGACGTCATGCAACTGCGAATTTGTTTTTTTTGCTGTCTCAAAGCATGTGGCTGCACACAACTTTCAGCACCGGGTTGCTACTCCAGGAGCGCACCTGGCTGTTGAGCTGATCACTGAGACGGCTGGAACTGAGGAGTTTGCTTCTCTAGTTCAAAGCTACATTACGGGTAACTCTACTGAGGCGCTTGAAGCCAAACGACAATGCAAAGGTAAGTATCAATGCCAGTTGATTTTCATCAAGCACATCTGACATGTATATCAATATAGGAAACAACGCAAAATCCATCAAGAAGGAAGTGTTTTCCAGGTTGGGACGCCTACTAGGTGAGCAGGTTTCCATTACACAAAAAATCTCACGTTAACTTGATATGGTTTTACTTTACTTCACCATCCTCAGCTGAACACACCAACACCGCTTTAAGCAACTGGCCTTGGTCGAATTGCGACTCTACTCTTGCAGCTTTTGGACTTTGGGTCGCTTTGACCAGACCTGAAAGCAAGTTGAATATCAACGTTCTCAAAACACCTCCAGCCAAACTCAGTGGACCAGACAGCCGATTGATAATGTTTGAGCTTGACCAAGGGGGTATTGGTTCCCTACCAATTGAAGGTACCGAGGATGACATTACCTTAGAATCTGACTGATCAAATAGCTTCATCATGTCCTCTTTTTAACCCGTAGTCTTTGAAAAGTAGCAGTGCCTGTAGTCTTTTTTTATATATATGTAGTGACTCAATGAAATAAAACTGTGCTCTACTCTAGTTTTGATCTTCCACTTGTAGTGACTCAATATGAAATGTCTGCACTTGACTTCTATATACACGCGTGACTAAATATCTGTTTTTTTACTTCTATACATACGTAGTGATTTTTGTTTTTATACACGTAGTGACTCAATATGAAATGTCTGACTTACTTATTGTTTTACATACATATACACGTAAACACGTAGTGAGTTCAAAAGAATAAATTGCCTTGACAAACGAAATAAAAATGAAAGTCAATTCAATGGATAAAAGCAAAGTTGCGACGGTTCATACATACACACAGTGAGCGAGAAATGAATATTCACATCAAACCTGCAACAGGTCGATTGGTTGTGAGGGGAGGTACTCAGATAGGATTGTCTGATTCTAGTGGCCCATATGCTGCATTTGGTACGAGTAATATCCGCACATGTTCAATTATATTGCAAGTCACATCAAAAAGAAAAAGAACAAAAACAACGAAGAACAAAAGTAACAAGTAAAAAGTCGACCTAAACAATAACTCTAAAGCTGACTTAGAAAAATTGATCAATCCAAATATAATTGCTTTAAAAAACTGATTCATCCGCCCTTTAACATGATTGCTAATACATTTGACTGCTACACTCTGAATAAACTTGAGTCCCTTGGTTAGGGTTTGATTTCCACCTTAGGCGTAGGCAAAAACTGAATGTATAAATGTATAATAGTCTTAGTTATACTACTCGTAGTCAAAGATCTGGTAAAGATTTGACTTACAGCGTTGATGAATCACTAGTCTTGAACTTCTCCTAGTATCGCTTCCTCCGCAGTGAATAACTTGCCGTCAATGTCAACAAGATAGAGACAAGTTTGAACCGATCGATGATTTTGGTGTTGAGTTATGTTCGATGCAGCCGTTTGTGTTGTTGTGTAGAAGCCACGCCAGGAGACTGAGCAGTCCCCGGATTCTGATGATGGGGGGGATGGTGTTGCATCATAATCCGATGTGAGATGGAGGTGATTGAACTCTTGTACGATTGCGCTGAGGTTGGGAATCGAGAACCTGGATTTGATGGCCATCATGAACGATTTAGCTGATGACGATTCGGCCGATTTAGTGACCTTTCTAGCAATTTGAGTTGAGATTGAATGTTGAATCATGTATCGTATAATTTGGTCACCGCGTAGGTCAGTGCACACAGTTCCATCAACATCGAAATATCCTTTGAGTCCCGTGATGGTCTCAATCAAGCTGACAATGCGAAACTCCCAATCGGGGAAGTTGGAACCATCGTCTTTGAGCGATTCGCAGGCTGATCTTACTGTTGCAGGTATAGAAGCAATAAAGCTGGTAGACTTCCAATCATCTATCAAGTTATGGGGAGTTGATTGTTTGGGTGCGATGGATCGCATGGCTTCGGTGGGTTCGATTGGAAAACAAATGTCAGGAAAAGTGTGAAGAAAGAGAAGCAGGACTAGTATAACCCACTGAACTGCTAAACTTGAAAAGGCCAGGCTGGTAAGTGAACAAACAATGTGGTGTGTCTGTGTCGATTTTGATGAGAGTATGAGATCAAGAGGTACTTTGATTTTATCAAGAGCAAGTCATCACAACTTACACGTGTGTAGTACTTGTAAAATTTTGGTAACACGTAAAAAGGTAACTTTGCAAAATTTGCGCCGTTGTCGCCTCTGTCATATACATACATACAAAACATCCTTATATGTTCAAATGTTTTAACAACCAAGGGCAATTTTGGAATATTTGTCAAGGTGGTCAAAATGTGAATCCTACCCACCACATACACGAAACAACTTCTATCACCAATGTAGCTTGAAGTATAAAGAGAAAACAGGTGTTTTTCTCCCGGATTTGGTCAAAAGAGGATGATATCAGTATCAAGGAGTAAAGTTATAAAAAAAGTGCAAAATAAGACTCAACTTGAAATTAAAAGTTGGTCACTTACGCGACGAGATTAGGCCATATTGCACCATCTTCAATGAGTTTGGAGCAGTTTTATACCAGAGCGGGAGGTGAAAGTGTGTTTTTGGGGTGAGAACATGCAAATAAGTATAAGAAGATGAAGGGTTATGGAAAAAGTTCAAAATGAAACTCAACTTGAAATTAAAAGTTGGTCACGTACGCGACGAAATTAGGCCATATTGCACCATCTTCAATGAGTTTGGAGCAGTTTTATACCAGAGTGGGAAGCCAAAGTGTGTTTTTGGGGTGAGAACACATAAATATTAGTATGAAGATGGAGAGTTATGAAAAAAGTTCAAAATAAAACTCAACTTGAAATTAAATTTTGGTCACGTACGCGAGGCAAAAAGTCCATATTGCACCATCTTCAATGAGTTTGGGATCATTTTAGCCTCAAAAATCAGTCAAAAGTGGTCATGTTTGATTTTGGGAAAAATCGTGACAAGTCTTTCCAAGTAAAATCGTGTTGATCATCAACCATAAAAGTGATCCAAAGGCCACGAAGATGGTCGAAATTGGCCTAATTTCGCCGCGTACGTGACCAAAATTTAATTTCAAGTTGAGTCTTATTTTGCACTTTTTTCATAACTCCACATCTTCATACAAATATTTATGTGTTCTCACCCCAAAAACACACTTTGGCTTCCCACTCTGGTATAAAACTGCTCCAAACTCATTGAAGATGGTGCAATATGGCCTAATTTCTTCGCGTACGTGACCAACTTTTAATTTCAAGTTGAGTCTTATTTTGAATTTTTTTCATAACTCCACATCTTCTTATACTTATTTGCATGTTCTCACCCCAAAAACACACTTTCACCTCCCGCTCTGGTATAAAACTGCTCCAAACTCATTGAAGATGGTGCAATATGGACTTTTTGCCTCGCGTGCGTGACCAACTTTTAATTTCAAGTTGAGTTTCATTTTGAACTTTTTTCATAACTCTCCATCTTCATACAAATATTTTGCTTTGTTAACCAATTTTGGCAAAAAATCACTCCTGTTTCATCCGGCCATTGAGCCATTTATTGCACATTTCATGTGTCATATGTAACTCTCAAATCTCCCTATCCTTCTCCACTACTCTGAAGCTTTTGTTTGGCACCACAACAGCTGTTGTGAATGTATGGGTCACCTTATTCTACTACCTCAAATCAGCCTCAAATTACCTACTTGGAGATTAGACAAATGTTCACTTTTGTCTAATCTCCAATTTCAATATCAAAACCTTTTTTTGGGGGATTGGTATAAATTTTTGAACTCTCAAGATATCAAGCAGGACATAGATTGCAAAAACATTTTATTTTAGTACAAGAATACTTACTAACAAACCCACTCATCTTCTTTGGAAGATTCTTTGTAAATTTTAACACAACTAATCATTTGATAGAAACCTTATAATTGTGAATTATAACACTACTAAACAATTCATAAGACACTTAAACTATTCATCAATATCATCACCAGCTTAAGTTTCCCGCAGCACATCATGTATCTCATCTAAATGCATAAACTTTTCATAAACAACTTCAATATCTTCATCTCCCGGAAACTCATCCTCATCTGGCTCCTCTGGAACATTTTCTTCCATCCTGTCTAAGGCCATTTCATCGTACCGAAATTCAGGGGCTATGTTGTAGAATGCCTGTACTCCATCAATAACAGTCTCAAAATCGCCGTCGATCATGGAGGAGTGCTCTTGATTGTCAAGATATAACACTTGCGCCACCTGATAATGCCACGTACGAATTAAAGAGGCATCACCAGGCTGGGTGGAAGTCAACATTTGGAACACTTCCAGGATGTCAAAGTTCCAACTTTTGTAAAGCTGGCATAGATTGTTAAACTCTTTATGAATGATCACCTTCACCGCTATTGTTCGTTCCTCACACTACACCAAATGTAATCTTTACCGGGCGGTAAAGAAAACTACTGACATAGAAAAGTCCTGAGGCAACAGGAAGAGAGCTAAAAATCTGAAAAAATATGCACCTTGCTCCTAGATGTTGGGGCGTCATGATGAGTATTTTTTTGTATTTTACACGCAGATATTGGTTTATGTACTAACAATAAATGCTGAAAATCATCAAAAACTCACATGTAACAATACCTGAAATTTGGGTCATGAGTATGAAGACAATATTTTGTGGTCTAAAAACTTCAATAACTTTTGCAATTCTGCTCCAAATAACTCGATCTTTGGTTCATTCAAAAGCTGAACTATTCTCCTTCACACTTCATAATGTTGGTAAGGTGCTATCTATTCATTTAAACACTCTACATATGTTCAAACAGTTCTGCATGAATAGCTCTGTAGGATCTTTTTTAGACCAGCTACAGATGTGATGTCTCAATGAAAAATGTAGAGGAAAGGCTCACCTTTTTAATGCACTTCAAATCGAGTGATTTGATTCAGAACTGCAAAAGTTATTGATGTTTGAAGATTCCAAAATCCTGTCTTCAAAGTCAAGGGCCAAATTTCAGGTATTGTTACAGGTGGGTTTTTGATGATTCTCAGCCTTTATTGTTAGTACATTAACCAATATCTGTGTGTAAAATACAAAAAAATATGTGTCATGACGCCCCAACATCTAGGAACAAGGTGCATATTTTTTCAGATTTTTAGCTCTCTTCCTGTTGCCTCAGGACTTTTCTATGTCAGTAGTTTTCTTTACCGCCGGGTAAAGATGACATTTTGTGTAGTGTCAAGTGACAGAGAGTTCAAACTTGGCTGGTCCAGGAATGAGTTGAGTCGAGCTTGAGTTGATGGGGATTGTGCTCCAACGGGGTGGTTTCCTCCAATGAGTAGAAGGAGATCTTGAAGGTTTCGAAATTCACTTGTCATCCATCGCATAAGTCGGCGAGTCTCCCATTGTAGACGTCGGATCTCTTCTTTACCTCGCCGAAAGCGGGCCAATGCACACATCCCAGTCTGAGTGGGTGTATCGATTGCCCATGGCTGATCGTCATATGTAAAGAGGCCGTCGTTCCAAAATGCGTCATCGGCCTCGATGGCTAAGAGCTTGTCAAAGGTGATTGGTCTCGGTGCAGGACGATCAGGGAAGGCGGCCTTGTAGCCTGTCAGGTTTTCGCTGTAGATGTCAAGCGCCGGTTGTAACTTGGCAGCACAAGTCTTGATGGCAGCTAATACCTTCTGTTGACCACGCTGACCTATGAAATGAGTACTATTAGTAATTGATGTAATGATTCAAGATGTACTGTACTTACCTAGTTTAGTTGACATTCCAACTTGCTGTACAATCTCAAGAGGATGTTTCTCCTCCTTCAGAGCAAGGAAGAGCTGTCGCATCGCCGTTTTGGAATACCAAAGTTTCAATAACAAATTCGTATGTTTTTCTGATACAAGTGTGGTATTGTGTTAGTGTACATAGGTTACTGATAAAAATTTCCTACCTACTCACCAGATAAATCATTAGTCATTGCGTCCGAACCAACCTTTCTCCTTTGAGCTGCAATCCTTTTTTGAAGGTCACCAACCAACCGAGCCCGAGCAATCGCTTGTTCAGGAGTGTGAATCAATGTCTGCCTATAAAAACAAAAGATTATCTCATGTGAGACACAATGATTGAATCGGAGTGAGACAAAATAACGTACCACGCCTTATCATGTTCGGCTTCTAGACAAAGGAGTTTGCCAAGTTCGAGTTTTTGTATTTCTTGTTGAACCTTTGGGCTAACGATTGCTTCTCTTTGATCTTTCCATTGTTTGTCGAAGAAGTCCTCAGTATAAAGATGGCCTGGTTGATAAGGATTCGGGAATGCATAGATGTTAGTCAATAGAGTCTGACTCTTCTTGACAGTTTCATGAGCCTGTTGCATTCGGGTCAAAAGCCATTTGCCTAAAAATACCATTTCAGTTAGAAAATTTATAAAATAAAGTCAAAATGATCATGACTTACCGCTGCTTTCTAGGAGCACCTTTGTATAATGTTCGGTTCGGTCACTGATGGCCCAAAATCGATGAGCCCTGGTTGAAGTTCGCAGATATGGGACCAAGGCTGATAAAAAAGACCAGAATCGTTCGAGACCTTTGCCATCGGATAGTCCCCAGTTGTCATTGTATCTTGGATTGTACCGGATCTGGAATTTCCACTCGTGTACATACGCGTGGAAAACAGATGTAGCAAACTCCAACTGTGCTCTGTGCTAGCAGGTCGCGCTGGCAGACATATCAATCAACATAATCAGCTACTATTTAAAACAATACTAGTAAAGATGGTACTTACACACTTGAGGTGCCTCTCGAGATGACACCCTATGTCATAAAGAACACCAAATCTCTTGCCGGGGAAGTCCTTGAGAATGGACTGAATCACAGCGATTGGATAGTAGAGCCTGGAGAAAGAAACAAAAGTATTAGTATATGTAAATGAAACTAGTAAAGCTGTGACTTACTTTTCACCAGTTTTATATATATTAGCAATCCGTAACGGTACATCGTGTCGGCATGAGGCTGCAAAAAGACCAGTATCGTCACAATGCGCCCATGTAGATGTGTTCCTGAGATCATTAGCCGCTTTGTGAGAGTCAGAACACACATTCTGCAAAGGACAGTTAGAAATATGAGTATTGAGTAGTTTAACTACTAATTGAATTAAATGTGAGTGACGCACGTGTCCACCTTCAAGAACAACATTAGATGTTGTTTCTAGAACAACCTCGTTTCTTTGAATGTCGGTCGGCTTGACAAAGATGGAGGGATATTCAGCATCGAGCGGTTGATCCTTACTGGCTTCGGTATTGTGTCGATGCTGGAAGTTTCCATCCATGCAGAAGATGCTGAAGAAATCTTGATCAGTCGGATCTTCACCTTCAGCTGGGCCGAAACATTGGGCACACTTGGCTGCCCATAATTCTTCCTTTGTATGTAGCATAACGACATGAAGCAGAGAGGTTTGAAGACGGGAAATTCGGGCATAGACATCGTGTGCATTGGAAAATGGCACCCTGAGAATACGAGATTTTTGTTGGATACCTCGAGCTGTGAGTTGGCGGCGAGTACGTCTAGAGATGAATTTGATAAGTCCTTGAACATATCCGCTCTTGTTGAGCCCGGATTGTTCCCATAGGTCGTGGTAGAGCTGAATGTAACGGACCGAGAACGCTGTGCGGGGCTTGGAAGGCGAGCTGGCTATGTATCCTCGGTGAAGTAGCTGGATAACTTCTGGTTGACACTTGCAGAAGCTCATGGACGGACTTTGATGTCCTGTATAGAAAAGTCAGGTCAGCTGTTGATCATCTCAATCAAGTCGTATAAGAAAGTACTTACCGAGTACGTCAATCAAATCAATTTGGCGTGGAGGATGATGATCGTTGGGAGAACAGGAACATCCACTAGGTTTGACTTCGTGATACGACTCTTGGGTTGTCCAATTTTTCGTGGTATGCTGGCAGTATAGGTACGTAGCCATCATTTGATCCTCGAGATGAGCCCATTCGCGAAAGAAGTCTTGACGTTTAGCAAAGTACTTTCGATACTGTCGGCGGCGTACATATTGTGATGGTCTAACTACTTCGCCATCTTCATCGTTGTCATCTGGCTCATCAATCCAGGCATGATCATCGTTGCCGACAATCTCGGCCCATTCTGGTGGTGGTGGTGGAGCAGGAGCAGGGATACGAGGAGGAGGATTGATAATCTGATTAAGCCGTTCTTGCCGCTTTTCAGCAGTTCTCTTGAACTCGGCTTCAGCTTGGGGAGTACGTTGCTGACGTTTAGGAGTAGAAGCCGACAAAGAGGTAAAGAATCGAGTAATGCGTTTGCCACCCATGTGTACTACAGTAACAAATAGTGAGAAGGTTGTCAATAAAATTGAAAGATAGATATGATGATAAGACGAAGAGACAAAAAGTGAGAAACAAAAATTGAGTGAGAAATTTTCATGAGTGAAGGTGACAACGTACAGAGGAAATGATATATTGTTCTCCTTTTGAGGAGAGAAATCTAAAAGGATCGTAAGCCTTGTTAGCGGTGCGATGACGGCCATAAGCCACGTGAGTCGTGAGGGGATTCATTGAACCTTGGAGGTGCGTGTAGTTGATTGATCGAAGCTGCATGAGTTGATTGATCGAAGGTGCATGAGTTGATAGATCGGATGATACACCTGTGCTGACTTGTTGACTCACAGAGTGAAGTTGAGGTCGGCTCAGGGAATCGAGGGTGAACCGGTACCTCAGACGGTACTTGGGGTGGGGTTTGACTTTTGGGGTGGGGGGGTTAAGTCCTTAGTAGGGTTCAAACTGGTCTGGCCGCGCCTGGTCGAGGCTGGTAGGGAAAGAGTGTCTCAGACAGCCATACAGGGGTGCCCAGACTACTGTCTGAGTACCAGCTGTATGAGTAGCCAGTGGTGAAAACTCGGCGACACACATTACCTGAAAACTTACCGATGATTCTCACAACGGCTGTAACAGTCCCGCGCTGCGACACTGTGTTTACTCTTCCCCTTTTTTGTTATCTTTGATGAGTCTTTGTTAAAATTTGGAACAAGGATGAAAGGTCAAATTGACAGATGGAGGGTCAACTGATCAAAGTGACTCCCTCCCGTGTAGTCGATGAACGTCCCTGCCTCCCGACTCGACTACTCAGGAGGGAGACTTGGATAAGTTCTGGTGCTTTTTATACATTAGATGATCTTATATCAGGAAGGACAAGCAGAAGAAGATAAATACTTGTGTGTATCCACCATCACACCTTGCGAGGATCTATAAACAACAAACAACCACCCTTGTCTAAGTGTATTACCTCTACATATGAAGTTGCAAGCAACTCAGTTTTCCACAAAGAAACGAAGACTTGTCTTGGTATTGAGGGTCTTATAGATCTCATTAGTTATCTTTGAACATTGCAATCTTGTAAGGGTCCTGGACTAGGCGCGTAACTATGCTTCGCACGATTTTGCACCATGACACATTACACAGTCCCATTTTTCATCTCCCTTTGTTTACGTCCTCTAAACAGATATGTGATTTTTCTTGGTTTTGAGATTGGACAAAACATCTTGTACATAGTAGGGGCAGCCCAGAGTTCTCAGCGATGAGAGCTTTTTGCTCCCCGCATACAAACAAAGTACAAGCATTGATCAAGATCTCCTCCAAGATCACATTCCCTATCTGTCAGGAAGACACGCAATCAAACGGGCAATAATCCAGCTTGTCCCGCGGGCGGCAGAGGAATAACATGCAATGAATAGTTGACAGAATGCAAGCTTAAAGAGGCTCATTTGCAGAAAAAAACCGTGTCGAAGAGTATCACAAAGACATCCTGAAAAAGCCTACACGGGTATATAAAGATGACATTGAATCGTAGACCCAAATGCCGCCGGACGGGTTTGGAATAGACCAATGATGAAACCATATATCTATCATAGCATCTCTACATCCTCCATTTCAACTTCCTCGCCCCTCGCAACACTATGGACGATTTCACGTCTGATCTCGGGAGTAATTTGAGCATGTACCTTGACCCGAAGCACGTCAAGTAGGGCTTCTTTCTGCTCAGCTGTCAAATCAGCCTTGTATCGCTGGACAAACACGAGGAAAGATTGATGCCACAGAACGGGAAGTTCCCTCTGTTCCCGTTTGAACCGGATGAAATGGAAGACAAGCGCATCCACAACCTTGTATGGTAGAGCATACTTTTTGTCGAGTAGCACCCGGATGAATACCGAGGTCGGGCCGGTATATTCCATGTCGGCCAATTTCATGAGCGCCGCCGCCGAATGAAGTACAGGGATGGATACTTTGGTCAAGACGGAACCGATGATCACAGCTTCCTTTAATGTACACGTCCCGCTCTGTACATAAAACAGACACGTTAGGGATGTACCAGTAAGATAACCAAGACGCAAGTACGCACCTCGCACAAAGGAAAAAGGAGTCCTTTGAAGAAAGCAGCGGGTTTATAGATAGCTTTTTTCAGAGCCATGTACAACTGCACCGTTAGTTTACCCGTTTCGCCTATCTCTTCTCTAACTCGTTCATAGAGGATTGTGCGATAGAACTTTTGACAATGCTTGGGGTCCAAGTTACTTGCAAAGATTCGAGTAGCAGAAAGGGTCGCATGAGGTGTCCAACTTTCAGGTTGAGTGATTTCGAGGATTTGGAACCAATTTCTCAATGATGGGATAATCTTGAAGGCTTTTGGCAGTGGGCCTGATTTGTATCGGGATAATAATTGTCCTACTTTGGTATAGACTTCGATAATCTTGGGATCAAGACCGCCAGACATCTCCTCTTGCTCACGACCTAAATATTCGACAACCACATAACACGAGGCGCAATCAGCACGCATCAAGCTATCCCGATGGGGATTTTACAGACCTTTCCCCTTATCAGCAGACTGATTGAGCTGCTCGTGTTCCTCTAGTTTTTGCATGATCAAGTCAGCCAAATTCCGCGAGCCACCCTGTCCAAAACTGTCGAGGATTACTTGATCTCCTTCATCAATTTCCTGTGGTTGAAGCCAAGCAGATCATCAGGTCAGAATATACCGAAAAGCTAGTGAAGAGGTTGATCATTACAATCTCTTCATACTCCTCCTCTTCCTCGTCACCACTACCGAAGCCCTTCCATTCTTCTTCTTCCTCATCGTCGGACCCGGTCAAACCATTGGCTACTTGACGAGCCACAAGCCGCGCACTGCATAAATCACATTCTAATTAGGACATAAAGGACGTTCATGACATTGAAACGCACTCAAGTTGAACCTCTTCGTCATCTTCATCAGAGGAATCGTGTGCCATTTCATCTTGCTGCTCCTTGGCGATCGCCAGAATCTTCTGGGAGGCTTTGCCGTCTAGTACTGCCTGATTCGGGTTGACATACCAGCATCAGTATTGAGAAATTCCTCGCTGAAGCATGCCATCATGTGGGTTTTCGAGCTGGGAGGCCTACTGACCTCTTGACCTCGCTCCTGCTTTCTTTTGGTCCTCCGACCGAGCGCCGAAACTTTGCCTGGGCCGAGTTCATCTTGAGTGAGTTGGACTGCGAGAGGATCATGTCGTGGACGTTTTCGTGGTGCCTCTGATTTGAATTTTGCCATGTCAAGCTGGAAATGTGTTTGTAGTTGGATAGGTTGTCTCGCTTCGCACAGGAGACCTTCGCCACTGTGCGTTTCGAATCATAGTGAGCGGCTAGCATGTGGGTGAGCTTGCACATGTAAACATCGAAAGCTGCGGATGCACCTGCCTCGCCCTCTGAATGGCAGCTGACGCGGCCCAAAGGCGGCGAAACCGCACCTGGGCATCCACAGCCGCACTACCGTTTGTAGAAATGTTGGACAATTCATATCTCCAAGCTGATGTTAAGCAAGGTGAAGCTCTACACAATTCTAAAACGTGCAATACGATGATTATCACCATCCCACTGCTTCTGAAGTTCTGTAAATATGGCTTCCTCCCCCTCATATGTTTTCACATTACAGCGTAGAGGAGGCTGATTATTGGTGAGAGAGTCCAGCGATGAATCATTCACCATTCTGACCTCAGAGGTATTGTCAGAAGATTAGGGATGAAAATTAATAAATCATGAGGGATATTTTGAGTGAAGACACGGGATACACTTCAATGAGAACGATCTACAAGAGATATCGAGCTTTAGGCAGACAAGTGAGTTCAACCAAAAGATGGGTGCTACTTTCACATCAACGAAATATTCCTGCCTGCCTTTATTCTTTGGTTTCTCGTGAGTTTTTTTTTTGAAAAAAGTACATATATTAGGAGAACCTTATGCCAAAGCAAACAGAAAAAAATGACTACGTGCTTTTGGCGGTTGAGTAGCTGTGTCGATTTGACGCGTGTTTGCTTGATGAGAAAGATTCGGTACTTCAACTTACAATCATCAGCTTCCATGAATAATGCAGGCCAGTAGCATATACATTGCACTATTCTTCATCTCAATCAATTTTCAATCTTCGCATCCCTTGTGGTCGTCTCTCGTTCTTGGCTCAACCACGTTGCACGTTTCACCCGGGCCCACTCATGTAAACGTGCTGCGAGTGAATCGAGATCGTCGATGGCTGGCCTTACGTCTGTTGTGAGCATAGAATGTCAGAACATCTATTATAAGCTATAGATACAAAAGCAGTCTGGTATGACAGTCAAGACACTATAGAAGAACCAACGCACCAAAGTGGAAAACGGGGTTTCCATTCTCATCATCTGCTGCAGAATAGTAATCAATCACGTATCGATGGAGTCTATCCTGCTCCTGTGGGCCCCAACTTTCGCGGCGGACCATCCAGTCGTGTCGATCAAACGGGGGGACTTCGCTGTATAAGCTCGGAAAGATACGGCCTAATAACATATGATATCGCGCTTTTGGGGACAAATCCTGTGGTCGACCCTGGAATCGTGCTAGTGAGATTTCGGGTGTATCTTCAGAAGAAGCGGCAGATGTTGATGGCTTTGGGTTAAAGTAGCGGCGCTCCCAGCGTAAGACTTCTTGCCAGACTGCTTCGTTCATCCAGTTGTGTATGTCGACCATGACAGGAATGGCGTTGACTGGGGTTTCCCATCCCTTTCGTACGAGGGCGTTGTAAAACTGCTGAGGAGATGGGTAGACCCAAGTGTCTTTGGTGTCCGAGGGACCTGAATGAGCTATAGGGCAAGCAGAAGCGGACTCGTGGGTTGTTGCAGGTGCATCACTGAAAGTCCTTGGTATGCTTGAGCGAGTGCGTTCGAGGGGAAGAGGAGTAGTCTGTCCAGGTGCCAAGTCCTGCGAAAGAGATGGCATGTTGTTCCGTGGATTTACATCGGATTGATTAGAAACTGGAGATGTGCTGGGGGAAGCATCATTCGATGCTTGGTGCATCGGACAGCCAGCCGGCGGGACAGGAGCTGGAATAGGATTTGAAGATGCGCCTGGGGTCGAAAGCGAGCTGCCCATATCGACGAGGCTTCAAGGCAAACCTGGCGTTTAACTTTCTTGTGGTGCGAAAGAAGCTGATCGTTCCTACCAATCGTCTACCAATCAGGTGTGTTACCAATGCGACTTCAAATTGAGCTGTGGTCAGATTACTTACGCTGACAAGAGATTTTGTCAAGTTGTAAGGTGGTCGATGTGATTTCGTCAAATTGGTTCGTGGTTACGGTGAAAGACGCCCATGAACACCCGATGCAGATTGATCAGATACTCAACCATCGGGTATACCTGAAACCTAACTTACAAATTCTCTGGCCTGTCTCACTCAAACTCTTGTTCAACTTGTGAGGCGGAGGAATCGAGGAGGACTCAGCGTCAGCACATTGATTGATCATTTTGAAGGTCTGCCTGCTTATTCGACCCTGTCACCTCGTCTTGATGCGCCGGTCGAAACCAATTTCACCGTCAAGGCCCCTCGCTCGACTCACTTCGGAAGCCATTTCCTTCCATTCAGCGTTGCTTTCAGATCAGTTTTTGCACGTGCGCATGAAATATTCAATTTCAAGAGAGAGACTCACTCTTATTTCCCACTTGATAAACACAAGAGGATGTCGTTTGTTCCACAGTTCAAGACTATATTTGACGAATGATCCAGAAAACCCATATACCGCAACCAGAGCTGATAGTGATGCGCAATTCACTCAGTTTGATTTTCAGAGGACACCACTCGCAATACCTCCTATATATGCAGTCATCTGACAGATGAGATAAAGGACAACATGTCAAGATAGTCACTTCCTTCTCCAAAAAATACCCATTGATGCAGTGCGCATGCTCTTGCAATTACCCTGCCCATGTGCCAACCCAAAAGGATGACTATTTTTCCAGTTAGAGATGTTAATTGTATCCATCAAAGACAATGGTAAAAATCCACATATTTACCCAGGAGGGTGTGTCATTTTGGTGTGCAAGATGTATCTCAACTTGGGCTTAACCCACTCAGACTTCTTTTTGAAGGGTAATGGAATGTGAGTCCAGGCTGCTTCATTATGTAAAGGTGAAGACTATATACACCTAGGGGCTAGTGATGCTACTGATTCCCTCATGTCTGTGGATCAAGGATAAGTTGCCTTGCCCAACAGTAGAAGTGGTCAGGATGTAAGTCCCAGTGGTGGTTGATTGAGTCAGATTGCCCTGTCAGTTTGCTTTTTCAGAAAACCTTGCAAAACCTTGCATAAAGCACTGTGATTGTGGCTTCCACTCTAGTCAACAGAGAGAACCTTTTTATGTCTTGAAACCCAGGCCTGCTTATTCTGCCCTGCATTCCAACAGTCATCTCCTTGATGTGACACTCCCTCATGGGACACCCATCTGGACATGCACTGCCGGCAAAGATACCTTGGATTGTAAAATGTGAGGTATCCTTGGGTATACATTCCCTTGGACTGCGTGTCAGAGGAATCAATCCAAGGCTTTCTTTGCCCTCAAAGAGTGCCTTGGATCATTTACTCAGACATTGCATCCAAGGATATCTTGGATCTTCCAATCCAAGCCATCTTCATTGGCGGTGATGCTTGGAGAATGGTCATGGGAACACCTTACGGACCAATTTGAGAGTAGCAAGTGTAAATTAATTGAGGCTTGAAGAATTCCAAGGTCCTTGATGATTTGCTTGAAACCTCAGAGATGTTTGGGAAGGCATCAGCAGAACATGAACTTGCTCCTTGTTGTGATCTCTTCCAAGATGATGTATTCAACAAATTGTCTGACCTAGTCTCTATACCAGCTTTAGACTGACAAAATTGCTACCCTTATCAAGTGCTTGCATTATCAAATATACCATGATTCCAAGTTTTATTCCATATAGAATGGCACAACATTTTGGCTCAATTGTAGATTGTACGTACTACAATTCATGCATGACAAGCAACCAGACTGGATCAAGCATCTAACTCCCTGTAGGGCTGAAGGCCCCATTCAAGGATTTTTGTTCAAATTGTTGTTAATTTCAATGAAAAGTCTACAGAAATTGGAATACCCAGGTACTATCTGTTAAAATTGTGTTTGCCCCACAGAAAGAAGGGGTAAAGAGTTTCATGAGATCAAGGATTGTGTTTTGAAACCATAAAATCAATCATTCTTTCCAATGTTTCAAAAAAACCAATTGCTCAAACCCACAATGATCTAAATTTCATCTCACTTTCAATTTCAATGGTTAATAAATTCTAATGAGGAGTGCCAGAAGTTTCCTTTGCTGATCTCCACCTACAGACTTCACATGAGTGCCAGTGGTCTCAACACACTCAAAGATATTGGATGCACAAATGATTTTGTATGTCAAATAGTTTCTTACTCAGATGGATACTGCGTTGTGCATAGAGAAGGAGCATTCCAAGGTATTGATTATGATTTTGTTTATGATTTCTACTTCTCCCAATCTTCAAACATTTTGGTTTGGTAGGCTTGAGACATTGTATTTTCATACTCCCTGTTGCTGGCCTCTCTCTGAGCTGGCACCAGGCATCATACATAGCCCAGAAGGATGCTTGTATTGCCTTCATCATAAGAATACACTTTCAGGGCTCCCAGATGGGAAAATGGGTCTCAGGCATTCCCCTTCTGTTACTGTCTAACAGCTTCACAAATTTTCCTGCATAGCCATGGTGATCTATATACTTAAAGAAATGTTCTTGCCCACTATCCCCAACCCTCAGCGTTAATTTACCTGTTACCATATATCTCTCAGCGTTAATTTACCTGCTACCATATACCTACTGCCACTGTACACTGCCACTACCTACCCTAGCTCATAAACTTGCCTGTATCCTATACCCGGTCACCTTAATTTCCCTCTACTATACACTATACTGATCTATACCGACGCTCTACAGCTCTATACTAACTACCACTACGACCCATATACACCACCGTTATCGCTCAGCCCGCCGATACTACATCAGACTTCTTTCCAGTCTGATTCAAGTGACTACATCTCCTGCTCACGATCTGTTCATCGTCATCGAATGGACCAGGCTTCCCGACTGTTGCACGCTCCTAACGCCTCCTTCTCTTCCACCCCACCTGCCTCGCCAGCTGACACTTCCTTTCAAAACTTTGGTCGTCGCCTTGAATTCTACGTTCGTCAATTCTGACTACCAGTCCAGCTCAAACATTCATCCTTCCTTTTTCGTCTGGTCCCGTTGTATCTACTCAATAAACCCGGTAATATTATACTAACCGTTCCAGCGCACATAACTCACCTCCTCTACTCTCACAATACTATAAAGGTAGCCCTATCTGACCAACTTCAATCTCCACATCTATCCATTCATCTATCCCCATTGCGCTTCAAGTGATCATCATTTCACTGCCCCCTTTCACATTAACCTGACAAAACTCATTCTCACCGCTTATTAATTCTTTATCCTCGCCACAGCCCCATGTCTGGTTCTAATATCCCACTTAAGCAATCCCATGTTGTCACGGTCTCTGGTGTGGTAGAAAACAGTGCAGTGGTATGTCTTGCAAAACAACTCTCAACGCTACCTCTACTCATGATACTTCACAGCACCCTCCCTCAGATAATTGCAATTATTTGTATCGGTCTTGCACTGTTGCCATTACTTGCAATGGATGGAACGGTGACAACAAGAAAGAATACGACGGCAACTTCACGGCGTACTGCTCCTCTCTTCAAGTGCCACATGAAGGCGAATGCTATTGCACTAAAGCACGTTTCTTACCATCGAAAGACTCTGCTGATTTTAATATGTATTATGAGGCCGAACACAAGATTTTTGTCGGCACCAGCGAAACTTTCACCGGTGTGCTTCACAATAACACGGCCCTTTCTGGTCTTGGTGTTGTCTCCAGCCGATGGACTATGCCCGACGAGGACGAGACCAAGTCGACCTTGTGTTTTGTCATGAAGCACATTGATTATCAGCCTCAAGTAATGTCCTATTCCACGTCCTTTTCTGCGTCCGCTCCTACTTACCCTTTGTCTTTCTGAATAGTCTCGCAAGAACCAGTACTTCAAAATAGAGTACCGCATCCGTCCCACGCGCAACATGGAGAAAAGCCAAAATTTGGTTCAGGTTGGCCGGGAGACCCTCATTTCCGGCTTCATCGTCGACTGGGACGGTGATAATAATCGCTGGATTGTTGAGGTACATAATCTTTTCTCTATTATATTGAGAGATATCCACTCATCTGACTTCCCATCGGTTCCCCAGGTCACTGGTGTCAGTCCTTGCACTGGCAATGAAGGGATCACTGCTAAGCAAACAGACCCCGCTGGGCATGTAACCCCCGCTGGACGCGTCAGACCGGCTAAGTCAGTCTTCCATACCCTTACTACTTCACCCAATTCTGACATTGCTTCTCAGGCACATTGCTACGCCCTCTACTCAAGCAAATTCGGTTGCCGGACCTTCTTCTACTCCGTCCTCGACACCGTCTGTATCAGCAGCTAAGCGCAAAGCTCCTCTGCCGGAAGAGCCACTACACTGGCCACCAGTAACAGGCCGCCGGACTCCCCCCGCTAAGTAAGTTGAATCAGCTTCTTCCCCAGTTCATACTGTGTGTTGACTCGGCTACCTCTCCTAGACACGTCGCCAAACCAGCCGCTGCCGCCACTAAGCCTCCTCGCACAATCAGCAAAGGTAAAGGCAAAGCTGCCCCTCTTATTGATGAAGTGGAAGACGCGGTAGACGAAGAATTATTATCCGAAGCCGAGTGGCCTGCCACGCCAGTTCCACCTGTCGTGAAGAAGCCCACCGCGAAAAGAGCAGCCCCAAGCAAAGCCAAGAAGGCTAAGTCTGCACCAAAACCAGTCGTACTCGAGGAGGAGGTCGTAGAAGAGGCTGACGAGCTCTCACAGGCGAGCGAAGGAGAAATGGAGGAATAGATCATAACTATGTAGTCTTCGTCATAGCTTTACTGTGTATCTCTCCGTGTCACCCCACTTCGCTCTCATTGTAATAACCGCCTGTTCTGTTCATAGTGTAATCATGCAACTCAAAACGTTTATAGTGTTCGCAGTGTGAGATTTGGGTTGTCTCCTTTCATCGAGTCCCGCACCATAACAATTGACTTCGCAAACCTTCTTCACTCGCTTCAGACCAGTCGGTACAACCTTGCGCTATGTTACTCAGCCTCCGCGCCCATAAACATCATTCTCCATGCATTTACCAAATCTTAACATCCCAGTTTTTCTAGCGTGTTACCTGCAATCCAGTCCAATCTGTGATCCCAGTCCTATATTAAGAATCTTCTTGCATAGAGTCCTTACCTACCCAGGACGACTAGGTCAATCGATATTATGACTGGTTTGGCCCAGCCCCACTGTACCGGGCTCAGTCCTTCACCTGGTGCTCTACCCATCCAGCCCAAGTTTCCCAACACTCTAGCCAGGAAGAGTACCTTGACCGAACCCTTCTCAGCGGACCGTTCCATTCCTGACCAATGCCTTCACGATATAACTCTAGGCCCGCCGCCACGGTCATCCTGGTCCAGAACCGACTACCCCTGTTAACAATCACGAAGCAATGGCTGTACCCTACGAATTTGCCTGCACGGTTGATAGCTCAGCGCTCGACCAGACTATTCAACTTCGACCAGGCCGGCAGCGCAATTGGGCTCCTGCCCATTTTGAGCCATTCTACCATCGCAATGCTCCAACGATGCCAGTACTGGTCATCACATCAAAACCAAGGCAACTTTTCCTCAGTCATTAACCCTTCATTCGCATCTATTCTTATTGACCGATAACTTCACCGACACAGTTACCAACACCATTTCTGCACTCCAAAGGTTTTCTCACTCGACTCTTCATAACTGGCAAGCCGAGAAGCCATTGACTTTATCTAGCTATAGACTTGCTCCAATACTTTCAAATTCTTTGCAATCACAACATACCGCCTCAATGTACGTTTACCGGTTTATCACACCGCTTCTACTGTCTTTCTGCTTATCCTACCTGGGTCTCTGGAAGTAGTGTCCTATTGAGCACTGTCGTCCCGTTCTAACAATCCCCTGATGCTTTGACCCAGCCTGATTACGTGACGGACACACACGAACAGCATGGTGAACCACGGACTCGCGGTCAAAAATGCTTCCGAAAACACGGAAGCATCAATTAAGCACTGTTTTGGGCAAGAATTGCCATTTCACATTGGCCGTTGCGACGACCCTTGTGCGTACTGTGGCGCTCTGCACTGGAAATTGGAGCGACAGCCCGTCACGAAGACAGCCGTTGTAGAACTCCTACGCTGTGTAGCGTAGGCTGAGCCGGAGAGGGGAAGAATCACCGCGCAGAAAGAATAACCACACAGGTGAAACTATGGTTGTCGTAGACTGCCCTCAACCTTTAAATAAAAGTTCAAAAAAATAAAAAAATCACGGAAGCAATTCTCTAACAAATTTCTACCTTCTCAAATCTAATCCGTAACACTATTCTAATATCACTAGAAGATCCGCAAGATCTGGCGGATTCCAACGGTACCCCACACTACACTATATGAGAGGGTGATACAAAACTATGTTGATGTTGAGTTTTATTGTAAATAGTTTTAATGTAAAAGTGAAATTGTAAAAATTGTAAATGTAACAACTACAGCCCTGACTCAACCCGGTCTGAGGTAATTTCAAACTGTAATCTAACCTGACGAGTTGATGACTGATTTCTGACCGAGCTCAGCAAACAGAAAATATAAGAAAAAAAAACACAATGATCCTCTTCAAGACACTAATCACTACAAATGATAATCTAAACAACAATAGAGGTTATGTTTTCTCCATCTATCTTTCTTATCTTTTAATACTCAAAGAACTTGATTTAATCGGACACACTAACTAAAGATGATATTCTAATTCTTTGATAGAACACTAAAAAAAACTGATACGTTCTCAAGGACACATGAAGACACGATTATAACACTTAGACCCAGACACGAACACTGATACGACAATCAGAACACTAGAACACTTTAAAAAAAACTTAGAACACTCTTTGATCAACACTGATACGCAAATAACACAAAAAAAACACGATGATCCCTCCGATGGATCCCAAAAAAGAATGAAAACGATGCGATTCTTTCCACAGACACACGAACGAACAAGACCCCTCTTCTTTTGAAATTTCAATTTGACCTCCACTTACTACCTCCGATCGGACTTCACTTGTAAGTCACGACACAACTGGATTTCCGTCGATTTTCGATTTAGTTTTATTTTATTCATTCACTCGTCTCCACCTCTACCTCAACCTCCTCCACTCTCTTTCGATCTGGACCTCTCGATCGCACTCCATCCTCAATCTCCAGCTCGATCTTCACACTATCGATTTACAATGTAAGTTTGATTTCTTTTCTCTTCTTCTACACTATCCCATCCTTGACTTTATGTATTTAGATTTCGATTTTGACATCATTTAAGTAAGTTTCTTTTCCCATTCACTTCTTTGTTTGTTCTCATACTGACTCCTTTACCTCCTTTCTTTGTTTTCATTAGTTTTAACTTTGGACCTCAAAATCGAATTCCTATTTAGTTTCAATTTCGATTCTGATCTTTGATTTAGATCTTGATAAATATGTAAGTCTTTTCTCTCTTAACTTTCTTTCTACTATTCATCTTGCACAACACTGACACCACCCTCTTTCTCTATCTCAATTTAAACCCTCAAAATCGATCCTTCTATTAAGTTTTTCATTAGTTTTAACTTCAGACCTCAAAATCGAATGTCTATTCTGTTTCCTTTTTTTTCTATTCTTATTGTATCTGATGAATAGATTGATGGATTCAGTTTCGATTCTGACCTTTGATCTTGATCTTCATTTAAGTAAGTTCTTTCATTTCTTTATCTTTGTTTGTTCTTGTTTACTAAATTTATCTTCTTTGTTTAAAATTTTGATTCCCTTTTCATTTCGCTTCTAGGTATCTATTTGATAAGTTGAAACAAAAGCTTCCATAGGACCCCTCTATCTCGATCACTACTCAACTCTAACCACCTTCACTTCAATATCAATCAATTCAGTCTCTAACTACACCAACTCCATTTCGATCTCAGCCTGTTTCAACTACAATCTTCATAAACATTCAATTCAATTTCGATCTTGAGCTCTGATCTATCTTGTAAGTCTTTTGTTACTTTCTCTTTCATCTTTGTCTATCTAGATTTTGATTTTGAGGTCTGTTCTTAACATTTTTCTCCACTCTCTTACACAATAATGACAAGTTATATTGTTTCTTTATTTGTCTGTCATTCGATTTTGAACTTTGCATCAATTGTTTAAGATTAATTCATTTAAATTTGATTGTAGGCCTTCTTAATCAATTTTCAACTCTCTTGACTTCAATTTTAATTTCGACTTCTTGATCATTTAGGTAAGTTTTTTTGTTCCTTCTATTCTGTTGCATCATTTAAACTGACTTCTCCACTTTCTCCTGACTTGCTTTAATGTTAGTTCATAGCTGCATAGATTCCAATTTCGATTCTTGACTTCTTTCTTGTAGATCAACTGTTTGGGGATTGATTAATCTACTAGGTGAGTTTTCATTCTTGATTCATCAATTCTAATCTTATTTGTGTAACATCAATGTTGACATTTTCAATTTTTGACCCTCTTTTTTTTTTCCAAGGTATGTATGTATCTCATTTATTTATCTTTTTTGTATGTATTGTTTTTATTTGAACTTCTATGTCTGTATAAAATATACCATTTTGAATGTAAGATTGATGTTCATTGAGAATAACAAGATCCATATAGTGATAATTTGAATTGAAATGATGATTTTGATTATTTGTCTTGAGTCCACATGCCTTGATAAAAATTGAAGAGTGTGATTTATGGATCTTTTCTTTTTTCTGTTGTGAGTTGATCTAATGTAATAATAAAAAAAATGATATGAGATTAAGACGTGATCATAGGAATTGCTTTCCACATCCTCCCCCAATTTACGCCGCTTGCTGTCAACAAGGAGCTGTTAAACTACCCAGCACTGACCATGAAAATACATTGACACCGGAATTTGTCAAGCGTCTTTTAACTGACCAGGACCGTAGTAATTTTTCACATCTCCGCTAAACGTACAGCGGCTGACCATTTGCCCAGTCTCAAAAGACTTCCGGCAGGACATTCGTCGTTACAACAACTCTTTGTCATGGGCATCTACTGGGACTAAGCAGGACGTTAGTGTCGCCGGGAACGGCGGTTCTTGGACGTACAAGATTGTAGGCAGGCTAACCCACCGAATTGGATCACTTCTACCAACGCCAGGTGTGCCTCGAAAATTTGCTCAAATTTTTATGTATGGGGATCAAGGCGACGAAGAAGCCATGAATCGCAACCAGCGCTCCGGTGGTGGTCTCGACCCCAACATTATTAAGACGTTTCAGGACTTCCTCTACCGCCATAACCCCTTTGCCAAGCTGTACAAGTCAGCAGAAGAAGTCTTGGATTCAACTCCCGTCAAAACCATCAAAATTAAGTCCATGCCGATTAATGGGCGCAATCCCAACCAATACAACTTCCCGACTTGCAATGAAGTCGCGGCTGTTATAGCTGGTGATGGCGACATTGGTTCCAAGGATCGTGACATTATTCTCAGGCTACAAGATGGGCCACTCCGGCGTATTTCGGATCTGAATACTAATTACTTTTCTTTGCGCTATCCCATATTCTTCATGTTCGGATCCCACGGCTGGGACGAACACTACCGGCATCTTAACACCAGGCGTACGTCTTCTACACTCCACTGATCAACGCCGGAGCTAACTATTCATTCCTACAGGACTCAATGGAAAAGTTTCTAACTTAGAATGGGCTGCATATACGCTCTTCACTAGGTCTGGTGTCTTCTCCCCGATTCTGCGCGGAGGACGATTGTTGCAGGAATACATTGTAGATATGTATGTGTGTGTGGAGAATGCTCGGATGAAATACTACAAGATGAACCAGAAGAAGATTCGGGCCGCACTTTACACTGGTGCGACTGAAGCGTTAAACAACAATGACTTGACAGTTGGTAAAAGGATTATACTCCCGTCGACCTTTATCGGAGGGCCTCAAGCGATGCATGAACTGTACCATGACGCTATGGCCTTAGTCAAAGCTTACGGACCCCCGAGTTTCTTTGTCACAATGACTGCTAACCCCAAGTGGCCGGAGATCACAGATGCACTATTGCCAGGCCAGACATCAGACGACCGCCCAGACCTGGTGGCTCGCGTGTATCAACTCAAATTGCAAGAATTACATGAAGACATCTTCGAACGCGAAAGGCTAGGTAACAACATTTCCTATGTTCACACCGTCGAATTCCAGAAGCGTGGAAACCCACACGACCATGCTGTGCTCATCAACGACCCGTCGTCAGCCCCACGAACCCCAGCCGCGGTCGACCTTGCTGTTTCTGCCGTTCTTCCCGATCCCGAGGTTTCGCCGGATTTGTTCGAGCATGTAACACAGTACATGCTCCATGGGCCCTGTTACGAAGGAAAAGCTTGCTGGAACGGCTTTAAGTGCAAGTATGGTTACCCCAAAGAGTTCTCTCCTAATACTGTCATCGCCGAAGAAGCCTATCCTAGCTACCGCCGACCAGATGATGGACGTTTTTTTCTCAAAAATGGTTATAGATACACAAATCGAGATGTGGTGCCATATAATGCCTTCCTTTTACTAAAATTCCAATGCCATATAAATGTTGAAGTAACCCTTGGAATGAAGTCCATCAAGTACCTCTACAAGTACATATCAAAGGGGCATGATCGTAGCGTTGTCAGCCTCGAGGTGGAAAATGAACCAAATGACTTCGTAGATGGGCGTACGTTGGCATCACCAGAAGGTTCGTTTCGAATCTCTTAATTCACTTAGTCCGGTACTGACTCATCTGGTCTCCATAGCTATTTGGAGGCTTTACAAATACTCCTTATCAGGCCGATACCCCTCCATCACTCGCTTAATGGTACACTTGGAGGACTTTAACGTCGTCTACTTTCACAATACCAAAACTTTGCGCAACCAGGTGGATTCGGGCCAAGCACGGAAAACAACACTCTCGGAGTTCTTTGTCCTCTGCAGCGCTGGAGGGTTGATCGAGAAGACGGAAATACCTGTCTCTTCTCTTCTTTACAGCGATTTGCCGACTTACTATTGGTGGTGCAAGCCACAAAAGACATGGCTCCGTCGCATTAACAATACAATTGCAGTCAGTCGATTACACTTCGCATCCCCCAGTCACGGTGAACGGTACTATCTTCAATTGCTTTTGACGTCGATCCGAGGACCAACGTCTTTCCAGGACCTGAGGACTGTCCATGGCATCATTCACCATACCTACCGAAGTGCAGCTGATGCTCTTGGATTGCTGCTATCTGACACACACTTCGATGCCTGCTTAACAGAGGCTGCCGCATGGAAAACAGGCCGCCAGCTGCGCGACATATTCGCATTGATTTTAGTTCACAGCCCGCCGGCTAACCCAATTAAACTGTGGGAAGAGCATATAGACGACTTATGCGACGATTGTGAATATCAGCTAGCATTGGTCGCTCCTACTCTGAAGCCAAATAGTGCTCAACTACACAATTATGGTCTCTCCTTGATGGAGTCTTGTGTCCTAGCGATGGGAAAAACTCTCGAAGACGTGGGCCTGGCAAATGTGGATCTGCAGCTGCTCTATGAAATTGGTGGGGGGACTGTCGACGAAGAGGACATTATAGCTGCACCACTCACTCTTGATGCTCTCCAGTGCGCTATTTCTACGTTGACACCGGAGCAAACCGCCATCTTTTCGACCATAGAGGATTCAATTCTTTCGCAGTCTGGCACAATGCTCTTCGTGGATGGACCGGGAGGATCTGGGAAGACCTACTTACTTAACACCTGTCTCAACTATTGCAACACCCACAGTTTGCCATTCGTAGCGGTAGCGTCGTCTGGGATAGCTTTCTTACTACTGCTCAATGGTAGTACCGCACACTTGGCTCTCAAAATCCCATTGTCAGTCAACGACACGACCACGTGCAACTTCACTCGGGCAGACTATACTGGTAGACTCTTAAGCAGTGCGAAGCACCGTGTCTGGCTTCTTCAAGCACGTCGACGTGCACACACAGAGAATTTTGATACGAGTTTGCAAGAGTTTTACTCACTTTTTGACTGACAGGATGAGTTGTGCCGTTGAGCGCCCCTTTGTTGGCCAAGAAATGGTTGAATAAGAGCATCTACCCGTCTGTGTCTCAAACAAGAAAGGGGGTTATCAATCCCTTGTCAAGTCTTGTATCCCTTCAACCGCTGAGCTTTTCCCTCTTGCTGAAACAACGCGGATGCTACAATCCACCCACTCCTGGCAAACCGAATCAAGCCGTGGTCTTCGTACTAAGTTTGAAAGTACAATATCACGAAAAGAGCCATAGGAACCATCTGAATCCATCATAAGCGGATCAGATCATCATTTTCGAACGCCATCAGTACCTTGAACTATTTCTCCCCTCGAGCTCAATCAATATTGCACCACAATATCCTCAGAATGCGTTTGTCAATCTGTTATTCGCATCTGTATATTTGGGAAAGCACGGCTTCTGATTCTTTCTCTGTAGCAGCTCGCACCTCTCACCACTGGAAAAAGGGTGTCACTGTCACTTCGCTGAAAGCTGTTAATGCTTCGGTAAGCGACACGCTTCCGCCGTCAACTGAGGGAATCTGCCAATCATTGGCCAAGTTTACGAGATTTTTACTCGGATACGACAAATTAACAAAGTCTTATCCACCGGCACCTACCGATGACGAGCGCTGCCAACTTCGACCTCTGAGTCAACACGAGATCATGTCGGGTCGCAAGATTTTTGGGACAAACTCCGTCTCTGCTCATGTTTCATCAGACGGCGAAGATATTCTTTGGTTCAAATTGATCTTCCTTTCCGACTTGAAGAGCTATGGCATTAGTAGAATGACGCTGGATTGGAACAAAACCGACAAGGATATTTGGAATCGCACCTTAGCAGTTTTGATTGTGAAACATTGGCAATATGCCAAGTCGCAAGGTGCGTTCAGCGAGGAGTCTGTAACTCCATCTCACAACACAGAAAAGATATGTATGGGTGTAGTTCTTCGATGGATTCGTGGCCGCGCAAACGATGTTCGCCAAAATCGAGGATCTCGCGAAAAGGTTCTCCGGAAAGAAACACTTCGTAAGAAACAGGTGGTGGGTCAAAGACGTCTCTCACTATCTTGTGTATGTTGAGGTTCCCATGCTGATTGTTTCTGGATCGAGAAGCTTTTTAACTACCGCTTTGATTCCCTCACTCGTCTTATGAAAGCCAGGAAACTTGAGCAGAAAGCATCCGAAATTATGCCTCATCACGACTGTTGCTCTGACACGGAGTGGGAGCCAGAAGACACCCAATATCCCTCAGTTGGACTTATCTGGCGCAGTCGTCAATATGCGTCAATACTACAACAGATTGACGGTCTTTCCTACAAGTACTGTGCCTCTAGCCGCGGGGAAGTCAACGCTCACAAAAGATTTGATCAATGTCGAACCAAAGCCACCCATACTAATCCACATGCTGCTGTATGCATAGGCCTCCCCGAAAACTGTTATGACCCAGTTTTTCTGTCTAACTTGATGCCTGAAGAAAAGGCTGCTCTTCATATGAAACCTGTTACAAGTCTCTTAAATATACTACCTCCTCACATTAAAGATTCTGTTGTTTAGCTTTTCCTTGGTTTGTAGCTCCATCAAAATACCGCACAAGTTGTATTTTCTCATGGTTCAAAGAAAGATAAATAAATAAGAAAACATTTGTATATATCAAGTCTCTGAAATCTTCAAAAAGTTACACAAGCGTACATGGTGTTTCTCCACTCAATACATCTATCAGATAATAAGTGAAATCATACTTAACCAGGAGCTGTTGTGCTTATTCTGTCTTGAGATGTGTTGAGAATCAATAGAGGAGAATAGGGTGAGAAAGGCCTGCTGGGTGTAGGCTTGGGTGCGTGTGTCACAAAAATAAAAAGGTACATGTGTGGTATAAGTATGAAAAGGAATGATTTATTTGATATTTTCTTCGCTTGATGACATATCAGAAGTGGCCTAAAATACCATAAGAGTCTTAGCTTTGATATACGAGGGCACATATGGTGGTGAAACAGCTTACCATGCTCCGGAGACTCACTAGCGAGACGGTTGGTTTGTCTATTCCAAAAGTTCCTGAGGGATTATGAAGGGCAGCGCAGTGTCCAAATAAATCGTCCATACATACACATTTGAGGTAGCATTCGTTATAAACTACTTTAGCATTCAGACGCGAGAGGTATGAATAAGGACTTTTAATGCTGTCAGTGGCATCTAACTCGCGGAAAACATGTATCATAAAAAGAGGTGTCGTATGGCTGTGAGGTCGTATGATGTGATGTATCACACCCGTGCGTGTTCTACCCTGATCTATAAAATCCACGTAGCTATTTCTGCGATGTTCGGTGAATGTACTGAAAGACTTTCCGGCATGTCGCCAGGCTGATGTTTCGTCGAGCTTGATTGACGCCTCACAGCCGATTCCTACTAAGATGGGTTGGATTGAAAGGCTGATGTCTAAGGAAGGTGAGAACGCCTTCCATTTTGGTGCGGATTTTTTCAAAATTATGTCGGCACCGATTTCCTCTGCGTATGTCGAAGGTGCATCTTTCAAAAAGTTGAGAAAATAAGAGCGCTGAGTGTGCTTATTGATCATGGTCTGTCCTACAACAGCTGGTAGCGGGCAAATGGGGATTTGAGAATAAGCATATCTTATCTAAGGAGAGAAGCGCGAGGGCTAAAGACTTACAACGATTACCACTTTTCGAAGATTTGACAAGGTTGCCGATGATACGCTCCCCAGTCCAAGCGGCGGTGTATGAAGGCGGTCCAAGAAGAAGGCATTGAGCTGGGAGATGCTGGGCGAAATGTAAGTTTGATTTCAATTGGATTGCAGGCCAAACTTCTTGAAGGTGGGTGCGATATTGTACAAGCAGAATGGGAAGGGTTTTGAGGTCGTCGGCGGTCATTGTGCGTGAAACCGATATATTGATGATCTGCGTGGCGAGGGTGATGGCTGTGTGGATTTTCGTAGAATCTGAATTCGGTTCGGCTTTGTGGTGATAAGGCACCAATGCAAGAACGATGTAGACTGTGTATAAAACAAGCCACTCGGAGGCTTTGGGAGTGCCAGAAAATGGCATACCAATCTTGAAAGGCACGCGCGTGAGCCAAGAGGGAACCAATGTATCTGCTAAACACTTGTGAACTAACTCCAGCTCATGAGGGGCTAGAGTGGGACCGGGGGGTGGCTTGAAAGTCGAGTCAGATTGAGCACTTTTAACACTGCCGTTGTGAGTTGGCTCGTAAGAACTGTCAGTGGCTGTCTTACGTTTTGCTGCACGTGTATACGGTGTTCGGCTAGTCAAAGATCCAGATAGACCACTCTCAGTAGCAGCAGGAGAGTGCGGATCACTCATCTCAACATCAGGAGCGGGCGGGGGTGGTGTTGGTGATGGTGGGTAAGCGCCGTTGTGGATCTGGGTCTCCTGCGTCTTCTTGAGAGCGTTACCAGCCACAGAAAATTGAAGGTAAGTGGTGGATAGATCGGCTAGAAGGCCAAGAATTAAACAATGCATTAGGTCGACAGTGGCGAATTCGAGTGCCTGCCAATACGGAAGCTCATAAAACACTGAGTAGCGTGACCCATTCGTTTTCAAAAGTCTTTCCTTTTCCTTTGGGTTGGGGGCGTCCACCCAAAGCTGTACCTCCTTTCGGTGCGCGGAGTTGGTCCGAGGTTGGAATATTTTGACGTCAGGCTCGTTGAGGTCATCCAGAGTGATATAGCATTTCGAACAGAAATTAGTGGAACGGTGTGAAGAAAATCCAGAAACTTTCTTCATGGCCGGTACATCCGCAATAAGAGGCCATAAAGCAACACGTACAACTCTTCCACTGGGATGAAGTGCTGTCTTAGTAAATCTGATACCCTTCCAGAGGTCAAGAAGTTCGCGAATGAGGGGTGACAATATGTGATCCATGTGCTCATGATTAGGCTCGCGACGGTTGGGAGTGATACCCCACAGGAACGTGTTCTCAGCTCGGTATCGTAAGTGAGGTGGGAGATTGAGGCAAATGAGGAGAATGATGCCGGCGTGGTGTTGTCGACCACGTTTGGATCCATAAGGATCAAACCAGTCGATATAAAATCCAAACACTAAGTTGCCTGAAGTCCGCGTGTAGACCTGGCCTTCAGATTTGAAAGTTTTCCAAAGTTTTCCATCCCAGATATCTTTCAACGTACCCGTCGGAGGCGAGGTGCGATGCAGGGAGGCGTCAAGGTCAGTTTCGAAGGCTGGAGAGTGTAGCATCTTAGCCAACCATTCGGTGAATTTCTGGTGATGAAAGACTTGGATTGGTTGGGGTTTTTTGGATTTTGCGCTGGCAAGGGGTTTGTATAATGGTGCGTTACACGTGAATCGAGGTTTGGTAAGCTTGGTAGCTGAGAATCGAAGATGATCACATTTCGTCTTAGTGGGTGAATTTTCAGGAGGGCCGTGGAGAGAGTGACACACTTCACAAGATAGAAGCTTTTGGATGGTGGGGTGGATATGAAAACATTTAAGGAGCTTATCGACAGTAAGTGGAATTTCTTCCCAAATCTTTGATGTAGAGGTGCTCGTGGTTGTAAGGCTGGTTTTCAGTTTGCGCCGTTCCAACTTAAGTGAAACACAACATGCTTGAACGGAGTTATTCTTCAATATATAATCATTTAAAACATGAACCATAGATTGGACACAAGAGATGTCTTGCAGAAGAGTTCGAGGCGTGTAAAAAGGCTGACTGTCGAACTCAAGGGCATAGGTAGCACCACCGCTCACTCGCGCCTGCTTGTGAGGCCGCTGATGATTCGCCGAAGAGGATGTAGAGGTTGCATTAGCAGCTTCAGATGGTGATCGACGGCGTTTGTTGTTTGCAGTATTGGTGGGGAGACTAGAGTTGGGTCTCGTGGGGTGAGTTAGCTCATGGCCAGAGGCACAAGGCTCGACGGAACCCAGAACAGGCTGAGCAGCTTGAGACACATCGTGGGTCGATGTAATGGAAGCTTGGTATTCGTCGATTGCCTTTGCATGGCGCGGGTAGTTAGTTCGGTGGAAAAGGCGGCCGTCATGAGTTTCGCCGTGCTTTTCGAATTGTCGTGCTGAGCATCCAAAGGGAATGCATGTGCAAGCGGCGTGATCGCGACCAAAAGACGTCATCTAGGACAATCCAGTGAGCACTAGGATAAGTGTGGCCAAATTTCAATGGAGGGTGCTGAAGTAGATTGTAGAAACGAGCAAAGAGATGGGTAGAGGGGGTTGACTGCGAAGGAATGGAATGAAAAAAGAAAATTTGGGCAAACCAAACAAGTGTATTCAAAAATACATCCGTCAATTTTTGAATATACTCAGCGGGCTACATATCATTCAACGTTGAAGTAATTGCATAGCCTCTGTTGAAGTGAAATTGACAGGGCACCTGTTTACGGTTCTTTAAAAACACCCTCTCTCCTTGTAGTCACTCTGATAAAGCACCTGCAGATGAATGCTTGATACAAATGGAAACCGCAAAAGCCCCTTTTGATAATCCATCACACTATAAACACTATATACACACTACCACACAAAAAGAAAAAGAAAAAATTATAACAAGAAAAAGAAAAATTTATATACACTATATACACCCTCTCAGACGGGAGAGATGAGAGCGCTCCGGCCTGTACCCGTTAATCTCAATGCTGATACAACACAAAACATTTTTCCCAACTATTCCTGCTTCAATGCTGCATTGAAACTCCAGCAGAGGCCCCACCAGCAGAGTTAGCACCACTATCATCATTGAGACTAGCACGGGACCTGAATGTCCTCATCACATCACTAATTGCCTCTCGTATATCACACGAGTTGTTCCCATTCAAGTTCAATTCAGTCAGAACCAAGCCTTCTTGAGAATTCAACCACGTCGGATCACACAATGATGCCTGAAAGCCTTTAGGAGGGAAACGATCGGGTTCAGCATCAGGCGCATAAGCACCCCGGTCCACCGTTTGTTTGCATGATCTTCGGGCCTTTGGAAGAGTCTCTCTCTTCCAATGAGCTTGGTCGATATGGCCTATGAAAGTGTCTAGCTCGCTGCTCCTCCATTCAAGGCGTAAGCGTTGGCGAGTTGCAAAAGTGTTGGCCGACAGGAATTCTTCATCTGAATGTACTTCGGGGTGCGATATCATCGCATACTCGCTAGAATCCTTTCCAAAGAGCTTCTCGACCACGTCCAGACGAGCTTCATATATCTACCCACCCCACGAGCTTTTGCGTCAGCATAAAAGTCTCTAATATTTCAAAAACCCAACGAAAAGCACTAACCTTTTCCTTATTACGTTTTTTGATGGTCCTTTTTTGTACCTTGGCCACGTGCTCTTTCATTTGTTCTCTTCCCATCGGTGTTTTCATCAAATCAACATGTTTCACTTCTTCTCGGACTTTTGAGACCTTATTAGTGAACCAGCGTCGGAGGACTTCTTCTTGATTTTCTGCGGTGTTGTCTGAACTGATGATACCAAACTCCTTTGCTCCATTTGCATCGTACGCCTTCGTCCAACTGGCCAGTATTATCGATGAAGTTCCCGAGTTCCAAGGCGAGTCCCAAGATCCATTCCAATCAAAGGTACATCGTGGAAAACCAGCCATTGCTAAGGCGGCCTCGCACTGTGTACCAAAATGATGTGCATATCTATTCCGACCCCCACAAGCAATCCGCGATGTGAAAGTGACAGGTCTCATCGGCTTCTTTAAATTTGCCTCTTCGGCGCTGTCGTGCTCGACCATCTTTCTTTGTTTTCGATTCGGCTTGAACCCTTCAGGTTTCTTGCGAAGGTACTTGTCCAAAGCTTTATCCTGAGCGTCTCGGATAAATTTTTCTCTTCGCTGTTTACGACTGAGCCAAGCTTGTTGTTCCTCTTCGGTCGGTGAGCTCGGGAATTTTTGGCAGACATCGGGGTCCAACAACGACGTCAATCCACGACGAGGGATTCCCATCACCATCCTGGTGAACTCATAGATAGCCCTGGCTATAGGAGTCGCAGGATTTGGAATTGGATGTGAATCAGCCACCTTGCCAATATCCTTATCGCGGTGCCTAACTTCAGTCAATTTTTTTCGATTTGCACGCCTCTTCCTTTGACGTTCCATAAGGTCTTTGTGTGTAAGCTCGCCTTCATCTTTGGCCCAAACCCAATGATGAGTCAGTCATCTATTTCACTCATCGAAGCGTTCATGAAGATCAAAATACTTTGGTCACGTACCTGAAGAGTCTCCGCCACTTGACCCCGTTTCTTTTCGGCCATCACGATCATCTGATAGTGAGAGCACAATTCAAAAGTCACTGAAATAGCCAAAGAATCTTATTCGGTGTTGAACAAGAACTTACCTTCATCGTCACCTTCATCCGCCAAGCGTCGCTTTTTCCCAGAAGCGCCACGTGTGGCAGTACTCATCTGAGTTGAAGTAGGCGCGGCACTCATCCTTCCAGATGATACAAACTACTAGCTTCAGCAATGAATATACACAAGGTTGAACAAATGATCTTTAAATGGACAGAGAAAAAATTTATAGACAGAGAAAAAATAAATAGACAGAGTAAAATCCCCGACAAGTGAGAGAAAAATAGTGACGAATTTTCTTCGAGAGTAGGGAAAGATCACAAGTTAACTACGACCTCTGATCTCGTAGCACAAAGGATAACACAGTGCAGCTTTGACTTATCCGCACCCCAGGTACGGTTGACAGGTATGTCTCATCTGTTGGTGCTTGCCTTTGAGACCCTCTTGGCCTTTCACCCGTGCATGTAATTTGACCGCGGTTTTATCAACTTACTACACCACCATTTGGTGTAGATATCATTCTATCACGACTCATCATCATCACCAAATATCACGGGATGATTCATTCGTGAGCTCTGTGAATCTTACATAGGTGTGATTCAGTCCCTTGCGAACAATATCAAACACGCTGGTTCTAAAAGGGTAGCATTATGGAACCACAAAATGTTTTTTTGTGATACTTTTACCATCCTTTGCACTTGAGGGTTTTTATACTCTTTGAGTAAAATGTCTGAGAGACCCACCTCCAAATTAACTCGATTTGGCCCAAGCACTAACTCCAGTGAAGAAACAAACACTCAATAGCGGGACCATAAAAACACCGTTTGCATTTTGAATCACCTTTTTATGAGAGAAAGTAACAATATAGAATGACCATTGATTTGATTAAAAATACATCGAGAAAGAAAAATAGACAAGAGGGGAATACATGTATTTTAACCTCCATCACGTTTAAAAGATACCCATGACTACAATTCAGGATGATAGCCCCGTTTGTGGTATTGCCTATGATTGAGTGAGTCAGAATCAGATATTGAAATCCGTGACTGATTCCAATACAATAGCACAGAATAAGCTCACGTACCAAAAGTCTCGCATTTAAGAATCCTGGTTAGTTGCGCTTGAAATCGATTGCTTTGGCACCGATTCCAATTTTTTTTCGTAAAATCTAAGCTTTTCATTTATCTTTCCAATGTCTACCCTTGCCTCTTCCAATTCCGCCAAGCGCGCCGGCATCAAGTTGAGTACTTCACCTTGGAAACCCGATAGAACCGCATTGGCATTCTTGAATTCATCTTGTAACTTCGAAATTTGCAATTGAAGAGAACGTTCAAGTTGTTTAAGTTCCGTATCGGGGCGAGATATCACTAGAGCACCTTCATTATCGCTTTCTTCGAGTTCATCGGCAGAAAGATCATCGTCACTTGTGTAATATTCATCTTGAGCTAAATCATAATTTGGATTGAAAAAGTTGAGCTCATGAGCGGCGAAAATGCGTTCCATTCGATTGATCGATGGCAGTACGTTGGGCTTCATTTTAAGGTCCCAAAGTTCACTCGGTGGGAGAGATTCCTTGAGGTCTTTGCTATACATGTCGGCTGGAAGGTGTCGAGGGATGATTCCATAGTCCATCAAGGAGGTTACAACATATCGACGAGGAGTACGACCAGATCCAGGAAAGTGATTTTGGGAATTCGCGCGAGATTGTAGGTGTTTTTCGATAACTTCCATCAAGCGAAGTGTTTCTTCTGACCACCATCGAGGTATGATCACGTGCACCTCTTCGACTACACGGTTACCAACCGTGACTCTGACATTGGTTCTATCGCCCATCACCCAGAAGTTTCTGGGCTGGAAGATCGAAACTATCCCTTCAGGAGCACCCGACTTGATCAAATAGTCCGAGTAATCTTTCCATTCCTGAGTTGAGATGACAGTCAGAAAAATGCTTGATGTAGTTATTGACGCTTTTAATATCACATACCTTTTGTTTTTCTTCTATCTTGAAATGATAATTGATCACATCTTGGTTGTTGCATTGAGTATGATACATTGAACGGAGGTGTCTGAAGTGGGCGGACAACACAGGCAAGACGTATGCGCGGCTGAGGACATGTGGGTTGATAGTGAATCTATAATACTCGGATTGGATTGCACGGTAGAAAGAGATCCAGAATAGTTCGCAAAGTGAGGCGTTGACACGGTCTTCTATGTTGGCATCCCAGTCGAAAGAAAAGCGTCGAAGACCCCATCTCTTCAAGTCTTCTTCAGTCTCGACGAAGCCTATGTCGTTCATATGAACACCCGTTTTGAAGAAGTCCGTAACATCGATCAAAGCCACAGACGTTCCATGAGGAAGGGGGGTTCCGGCTGGAAAGCGTTCTATAAAGCCACGTAGCTCGGCTTGCGATAGAGAAGGTGGGATGGCTGAAGTGCTCGTTTCACGACACATCAAGACGCGAGCATGCCTGCGGACAAGAGACTAAGAGAAGGATTTGGTAATGATGATGAGTATAGTGATTAGGGAAAAAAATAGGGGAAGTGGCACACTTGGATAACGAGCATCTCTTTTTTTGAGAGAATACCAATGACATCAGTGTCATGAATCATACGAAACCATCTAGCAGAACTCAATGAATCAATTGGCGGGTCGCTGTAGAGGTTGGATTGATTGGAAGACATCACGACAAGTTCATACAAAGATGAAGATGTCAGTAGGAAGGACTGATTGGGAGGTATCTTGGTACTCTGGAAATCGTAGTGATATATATGAACTCACATCACCCATCAACGGTTTACAGATCCGACCTGCTACAAGAAATCCGTGGGTTGAGGGTATTGGTTTTTTTGCGCAACGTCGTTTGAGTGAGACAGTTTATTAGTCAAATTGCGAACAGTAAAGAATATTACAAAGAAAGTATTACCAGATTTCCCGTGGACAATGTGGTAGACTGATTCGGCCTGTTTGTGATGAAAGACCGGGAAGAAATATATTTATGAACTTTACCTCACTTGGTAATTTAATCAGACTTGCTCGTGCGTCTTGTGTCTGTGACTGGAACTTCATCCGAATAACTTGTTGATCGAAAGCGTTTTGTGGCCAAATTCTATCACCTTGAAGAGAAACCACGAAATCAGCGACTGGGGTTAGAGAAGAATGTCTTATTTCCCCACTTGAAGGACTAGGTACCGAAATCAGACATCTGAGCAGACCACAAAGGAAACGAAAGACTGACCTCTTGCCACGCCGTCCACACGCTTGAGTGTCTCGGTTAATCCTGTTTACATGGAATTTAAAATTTTAGCTAATGATAAAGACATCAGACATCCAAGCAGACAACAAAGGAAAAGAAAGACTGACCTTCCGCCACGCTGTCCACGCACTTGAGTATCTTGGTTGATCTTGTTAACATGAATTCCAAATAATTAGTTAATGAAGGAAATGTAAGAAATAGACTATTGTCATGTTTGGTTAAAACATGCATGGTAGTGATTGAGAGAGATTTTGGTGGTCGAAGAGGGAGAATGTTGACTGACAACTACAAGAAGCAATCTATGTCGAGTGGTGGTTGAGTGGGTCACAGAGAAAGTCGGACTGCCGATATATGATTGAATGCAGTGTTTATCTCATAAAATTTGGGGGCACACCCTATCAAGTGTCATAACTTGAATCGAGTCAAATGTACAATACAAGCTGTTGAAGCTTGACTACTGTACGCATTGATTACCCACTCATGAGTGTGTCTGTCTAAGAGACGGGAGCTTGAAAGAGCTCTGGCCGAAGATGATCAGTATGTACTGGCATGTGTTCCATCAAATTTAAGCAACAATGGCTGGCTGAGTTTCAAAAACAAAGATCGATGATCTTTGTCTGGTGACCCAACCGCCTCAACGCATGGACAAAGGTATGAATCTCAGTACCTATCCGAGAACTCTGGCATGTCTCTGTCAGAACCATCTCGTGTGTGCACGTCGACGTGCTTGAAGAAGACAGACATGGTGAAGTTTATGGTCTGGGACGAAATATCTATGATGAATAAAGACGCGATCAAATGCGTGGATAGGTCAATGCGAGACTTAAGAGACTGTGACCAGCCTTTTGGCCGTTTGACGGTGCTCTTTTCCGGCGATTTTCGACAGATTCTACCAGTCGTACCTCACGGTTCTTTGCAGGATTCTGTTCGGGCATGTATCAAGAATTCTTACTTGTGGGAGGACGTTGCCCAATTCCACTTGACTGTCAACATGCGACTGGGTCAACATGAAGAGGGTACGGCGGCCCATGGTCATAGTCGAGACTTCGCTAACTGGCTTTTGCAGGTTGGCGGTGGTGAAGTCCAAACAGACCCAGTTGAACTCATCGAACTCAAGTACATTAGTATTGTACCCTTCGACAACAACTCACCCTTTGATAAGACCGTAGTCAATCAATTCTATCTGGGTGTGGCCCCTTTACTACGGGACAAGATGTGGAAGGACTTGGCTACATTGTTTTCACAACGTGTCATAATTACTCCGCTCAACAAGACTGTTGATAAGATCAATCAACATCTCCTCAGTAAGCAAGAAGGTCCCACGAAGCAATACAAATCAGTCGACGCGATGGAGGCCGACTGGGCGGAACAAGTCAGTGTCGATATCTTAAACTCCTTCAATTTCGCCGGTTTTCCACAGCACGACTTGCACTTGAAAGTAGGTGTCGTGGTCGTACTGTTGCGTAATCTCCATCTGCGGCGTGGACTGTGCAACGGCACACGTTTACTGATCTTAGCTGTTTCGGATAACGCGCTGTCGTGCTTGATCATAACGGGCCCCAAGCGTGGCACCGAAATCTTTTTGCCACGAATTACGTTAGAACACCCGGGCGATCAAGTGATACCAATAGCTTTTCGTCGTTGTCAATTTCTGGTCACATTGGCCTATGCAATGACTATCAACAAAGCGCAAGGACAAACGGTTGAAAATGTCTGTTTAGTCCTACCCAGCCCGGTGTTTGCTCATGGTCAACTTTATGTAGGACTGTCGCGGTGCACCTCGGCTGAACGTACCATAGTTTCACTCGCTGGCGCAGACGCACCCAGAACCATCAATGTGGTTTCAAAGAATGCGGTGGGGCATTAGGTAAGTTTTACCACTATGATGTTTGTACGATTTAGGCTAATCATTGATTCGAATATTTTGCTAAGTGTCTTATAGCATTTAGCTCGCGGTGGAGCCTTTTCTGTCTAATGTATTAATACTTTTTGTATTCCGCTCTCAGTTCATTCTTGCTGACCCTGCCGGCGGACTGGGTCGCTCTTTGCTGATAACGCAGGTCTGGACAGCGCTGCACGTTGTACTTAAGCTGAATCCACGAAAGTTTGGCCGATCGTGCCTCGACTCTCATGACTGTCAATACAATTCTCAATGATGTCATTGAAAATTGTTTGCCCGACCTAAGCAGGTCTAGATGATCATCAATAACGTAGTATTCCATCTCTCACAAGCACATGAACGGTCACTTTGGAAAGACCGTTCTGCGTCGTAAAATGTTTGTTGCCAAATCTTACAGATAATTGCGAGCTCAGCTTTAGGCGCTAGATACAGAGCGATGAGCCTTGCTTGCCCGTCTACCAAGCCTGGAAATTGGGAGAGTGAATCGTAGAGACCAAAGATTCTCCCGATCCAAACGGTTCGGTTTCATTATAAGTAAAGAATTGCTAAGGTACCGGGAACTCATAATTTGGACCAGCGTTACCACTCAATACTGGAACATGGGCGCCTGTGAATCGCTAATTACGTCGGACCCTCCCCTCTGAGTATGCTGCGCGGAGCTGCTTAGAATCAGCAAGCGTAAGTAAGAGACTGATAAACTGAACTAACCTCAACGACCCATTTTCCATTGCGACAGAAGTAGTGCCTGACAACGCCGCTGAAATTTACAATGTTGCCAAGCCGGAACTTGCTCACGCCTATGTCTGCCACAAGCTCAATTGAAGCCTCATAGATTACGTTGAAGTGAGTGACCTGCCGTGACTGTATGACAATCAGTACAGAGCTGCAGAGGACAAGATTGAAACATACATGTTCGTCCCAGGCGTTGTGCATCCCGACAATGATCCATCGATCGTAATATTCTGCTGGTACTGTTCGACGGGCAAAGCGCACTACATGGCCTCTGCTGTGCACCGTCACGACTGGAACGGTGGCCGGCAATTGTGATTCGTACTCGCTTAACTTGGCTGCACGACAAGGGTTGACCAGGATCATAGTATCGCGTGTTGCACTCCTAGCATAGATTTCCCCGGCGATATGCATAGCTCGGGCTGTTCCAAACAATGCTGAGGCTTGCTCGACCTGGATAAAAACTTCACGATTCCAACGCCCGGCCATGGGTAAATATATGGAACTGCGAAAATGGTGCTGAGGTATGTCACCGCTAAAAGGTTGTAATGCCTAGATTAATGGTCAAGGTTAGCAGCGATCTGATGGTTTTGAAGTTGAAAGCGTCTCTACACACACGTCTCTGTCAAATCGAAACACACCACTAAAGCTGACAGGCATGCGAGCGTCGATATGATTCGCCATTGGCAAGGAGAGAAGGGTGATGAGGCGACCGAAACGCGGTCCCGCTAGCTGAGTAAGAGAGGGTCTTCCACGTAACCTAGGTCTTAGGTCGATAAACACGGGGTCTGTTCGAACTGTGGCAGGACATGATCAACAGGGCAGTTCAGTTTTATTTGAGTAGGTCATCACTTAATTTTTGCGTATAAGGCGTCATTCTCTTTGGGTACTTTTTAAGGCCTAACTGATTCTCATTCCGCTTCGAATTTGCTGTACCTGCTTCAACAATCCTACAAATAGAGCGAATCAAGTATACAATGCAGGCCGATAGTGATCTCTCAGTGGGAATGAATGGCTTGGTGTACCTCTCCGACCGAGTTAGTTCTCCTGCGCACGAAAAAGATGCCTAGCTGACCATTCCCACAGACTTCTGTTAGGATCGCAGGAAATGACCTTGGTCAGCGGTGTAATGTATCGGCGGTACACCCGTTTATAGCTGGCTCGACTTCGCCATTCAGTATTGTGACGAGAGGTGAAGAAATATTTCCGAATGGGACGCCTGTGGTATTTACAGGCACCGCAATAGTCACCGGTCGGCCAGGCCTATTAGTTGTCAATGTGGACGGAGGGATCATGGCGGTGAATATAGGCTTATCGCAATTTAGTCAAGACAGAATCAACCTTATACATGTCGTTGGTCGTGGACGGGTGAGGTTGCGTCGACGAGTTGGTCAGAATCAAGGCCTGGAAGGGTGGTGGCTACTGGTAGTTTCACACAGCGTGTTTGTTGACTCCGTAAGTGGGCAGCTCGAGTTGCGTTAACATGTTTGACCGACTTTGCGGCAGTTGGGAAGCTTTGTAGAGTTTGAAATCTACTACACCGATAACCAAGGATACATCTCCCAATTGCCCGAGGCATCGATTCAGAGCGGTGGAATAGTTTCTCTGGAGGGTGCAATAATAACGTACGCTCGAGACGAGCACGTGTGGATAGTCATGGCATGTTCCCACACTTTCTGCTCCTGCTAATCCCATACTGACCATGTAGCTTCTGCGTTCCCAGGCTACGAGCATTGCTTGCTCCCAGGATCATTGAAACGGATGCGGTTCAAGCAGGCGGCACAGGAAAAGGTATGGATTGTTATGGTAAGTGCACATCGGGACCGTCTTCATCTGTGCAACTGCTGACCAGGAGCTCGGTCAGGCCACATTTACCTAGCCCCTTTCGAGTCTTGCGGAGGGACAGATACTATTCAGATGCGAAGCATGGAAGTGGTGACATGGGCTCGCTCAATACCCATGGAGTGCCAGCAATGTAGCAAAAGTTTGGTATAGACTTGCCGTTACTGATAATATGAACTAAAGAATACGTTGCAATGCAACCAACACTACTCAGCACTAACAGTACAAGCCAATTCCGTACGTTTACAAGCAACTGTGTTGAGTGGGAAGCCACAACAGGGCACTTGGAAAAGGGGAGAGGGACGGCGAGAAATCGAATTGAGATGAAACAGTAAGTTAAGTGAAACTTGCAGGTTTGAGGACGAATCCGACTCACATAAACGACAAGAGTGAGCGACCATGAGTTCAATCAACCTGGGTGCTGACCATAGCCTGGGCAGCCGGGACTGGCAAGGTGGTACCCTCAGGGCCGTGTGTGTCAGCCACGCGAGCCGGAATAGGGGAATTACCTGGAGAGGAAAAACAGTATTAGAGGTTGAATGGAACTGCAGTCATTCAATATAGACCGTACCGGTTTCGAGAAATGCCCGGTGGCTGCTCTCATTGCTAACATCCTGAGCAGGATAGACAAGGTGAACATGGGGGCCGCCACGGCACTGATTTTCAATGATGTAGGTGGGCTCTGCAGTCATGACGGAGCTATGAGCGAATATGATATGGATTGGGAGGATGCGGAAAATGAAGTAGAAGTTTTGGATAGTCGTAACGAAGTCGTTTAGGTCAAAGGAAAGGGATAGCGCGGTGGTGGTACCCGAACTGAGAGGTTATATAGAGCAGCAATCAGACTTTTGGCTGAAATGCACATACTACGTTCTTCGCAGATGGAAATACAAGAACAGGTGGGCTGAGGTACACAGTGATACCCGGTACACAGTAATAAGCGTTACGCGCGGTAAATGAATCCTTGCTATCAATGCTACTGAGTAATCACCAATTGGGTCACTCCAAAGTTGAATAGCTGCCAAGCGAGGCACTCAGGTCGCGCTGGAGGGCTGAACTAGAGCACCCAGGGTTGCATTGGTTCTGCCTCAGTCAACTGGAAAATTTTTGTTAGTAAATGAATTTTAGCAGATCAGGGGTTTTAACGTACTTGTACTATCCATCGGTCATGCGTCGGCTCATACCCGAAAATTATTCCATTGATGCCTAAGATGTGGCCAGGCACAAACAGTTCAGGCCGTATTTCTCGCATGGTGGATCTTTGAAGAGTGTACTCTACTTCAAAATTAACTAAGTTGCGAGACTATCGGAAAGTAGTCAGCGCACGTAGACGAAAACAAAAATACCACCATGTCTGTTTTGAGGTAGCATGTCGACGTGCTCACACCAATCAATTTCCGTAGAGGGTGGATATAACCTACAAACAGGTCTGAGAGCTAAGCATACAATTGCCTTTGTCAAGAGGTTCAGACAGCAAGAGTGTTAAATGGGCTCCTTTATGCATAGTTCCATTGACAAACGGTACATTTTTTATTGTCTATTATTATTAACAAAGGATTTGCATTTTCTAGAGACAAATTGAATAAAGATCTGTTCAAATTTATTACACAACTCTCCGTGTGAGCACATCGATGTGCTCATGGGGGACGGACATGGTGTACGAGAACGCACGATAGGATCGTAGTCACGATGAAGTATGCTGATAATCCACCGATGTTCTGCGTGGGAGAAATGGCACTGCCTGACATGACCAATGCTGGAGATGAAAGAACACGGGGCCGAGTGATGATTATCAACCCTGGGGGACAAACAAGCGGTGGCGGAGCGGGTGACCAAGACAGTCAAAGTACCGTTCCCGAAATGGGGGACGAGGCTGCCACGAAACAAATAGGGCCGGGCAGCCTCTATAGGGATGCCCGTATCCGGTTCGGTTACAGTGACAGGGATGTATTCAGGTGTATCGAAGCAGACAAAAATTTTGCTGTCGTAAAGAAGTCGTTGCCGGTGCGAGCTGGACTGGGGAGTGAGCTAGAGAAGTGTGGTTAGGTGGACCGAAAGGTAGGTCATGCATGAAATTGAGTACACACCTGGTCGCCGAGAAACAAGACGGAGCGGATATGGACTGGGAGTTGTGCAGGTTCCATGGTGTTGCCGACAGTGGAAAATTTTATATGCGAAAAGGATGACGGTTAGTCTAGCATCATCCGAGGAAGACCTATTTTTAAGCAGCTCTGGCCAGGCATCGTGGTCCCAAGGAGACGAAACCGGAATGACAGAGCTAACCTGGTCTACGACTGGAGGCCTGGCGATAATAAGTTCGTCGTTGTTCTGCTTGGTCTGGTCTAAGCTGCGAATCACGAACTGTGAAGAGGCTGGTCAAGTTGACCATGCTGAAAGGGTAAGTCATTTCGTGGCGACGTTGCAACCTGGCGCGGCTGGCTTTTATAAAGGCGAGTGTCTTGGGCCCAAATTGGGCTACAGAGCTCAAATCGACACGCTCTTCTTCTACTCCTACAGGCCTTACCAGCTACAATCACACGCAATCGAAACTCATCGAATAAGGATAGAGAAGACAATAACAGTTCAGCATGGCTTCGTCATTCCGGGTGGGCACGTACGAGAGACTGCCAATGAGATGGTTCGGTGAAATGCAGGTAGTAGGCTTGGTGAGTCTAATTTCTTCCCGTGTTCGACAGTACCTGACATAATTCGGTTGGCTCAGCGAGGTTACAGTGGCTGTCAGCGAAGGGCATACGATGCATTGGTCAATTTGCGACCTGGACTAGGAGCTCCCTTGCCGGTCCTGCTATTCGACAAGGGCGAGATGTACGGACCAGAACTAGTTGGCCTCTCCAGTTTGAGCGGTGTCGTTGTCCGCGGTGGCCAGGAGCAGTGCGCGAGGTTGATTGTGGATCAAGAGGCGTGCCAAGTTGTGCAAGGAGGCGTCTCAGGGCACACGGACGCTCCAGGCTTGACTATTTCGGCGCGTGGGCTGGTACTTCGCGATAATTGGATTGGTACTGACACCTTTGGAGACGAGTGGCGGCTTACCAGCTTGATGCATAGGGAGTGGGACATGACTGTGAGTTTGCACAATTATCTGAGAAGACGGCGAACTCAGCTGATGATTGATTGCAGCATTTGATGTTCAGAGATTTTGAAGTCGATTACATTTATGACGTGAAGGAAATCAGCGGTGATCCACAATGGGGTATCGCGGTGGGTGAGGTAATCTGCTTTGTCGGCGAGGTGGTCAGTATGGCGGGACAGGCAGGGCGGTGGATTGTAAAGGTGGTCGAGGTGAATGGTTCGCTATCACTTTGATGGAGTATCGAATCAGGATGGGAGTGTGTTTTTTGGGATGATGTCAATTGACCGCCTATGTAGACATGGTTTAGATTCTGTTAAGGTGCAATGCATTGTTATTCAAGGCGCGCAGCACATAGTCTCAGTATACGCACGTTGCTCGAGAAATGAGCGCTCAGAAACAGGCCGATGGGGTGGTCCGCTATTATCGGGGGGTGCCCGTGCCGAGTACAAGTACGGTACTGGCTGCCAGAGGGTGGCGGGCCACCCAGTACCGGTGGGTGGCTGGCCACCCAATACCTCGTATACATAGTCAATTTGTCCAAATGTGTGTCACAATCTGAACAAATTTACAGAATGTATTACAGTTGTTTTCAAAAAGCTTGTCCAAATTTGCCCGCCAAACTCAAGCAATTTGGCAGTGAATATGTGGCAAGCTTTTTGAAAACAACTGTACAAGTGATTTGCTTATCTATATGAGCAGATCATGACTGATAAATCTCTTATGCAGCTTATAGCTAAGGATTTACTCAGATGTTTGCACATACATAGCTATGCTTTGTGGCTCAGGTGTGCAGTGCAAGATGATTTTATGACCCAATCTACTCTCAATCACATTACCAACCAAGGTCTTGTTCCCACCCAGGAAACTCTTTAATGCTGGCTGTGACAGACTCTTGAAGAACTTCAAGTCAGTCAACAATTTATTTTCATAAATAAGATGTCAACACTTTCTGTGAGGTTGACAATGGAGCAATAAAGATGAGAAGAGTGCTTGCCTACAGATCAAATTGCAAATTGATTGGTCCAATTGGTTTGTGAGAAAGTTTTAATCACCATGATAGAAACTAACTGAATAAGCTAGGACCCAATAACTGATCAGTCATCTCAAAACAACTATGTTACTCCAAGCAACTCAGACAATGGGTTTCTACAAACACAATTTTGATTGGTTTGCAGGCTACAGAAGTATTTGAAGATTTTTGGCAACTTGCCTAAATGATGAACTTGGATGCATCATCAAGTATACTCCTGATCGTGACACTAGGTAAGTTTGGCTGATCATATGATAAATTGTACAAGGGAATTTGATTGCTAGTTGTATAATCAGAGCCTTGTGGGTGTGTATATAAATAGATATAAGGTCTAGATGATATATGAGACTCTTTTTTGCATCTAGAATCTTGATCATCCTAGCACAAAATCAAGAGGTCAACATTGATCCATAGAACCAGATACACATTGGACTGATAAAATTGGAAAGTCTCATTGTTGGTGTTTGATCCCTTTCTCTCCTATCTATCTGAAAACCCAAGCCAGGATTTATTTTCAGACAGCCCAGGGTTGTCTGGTCAGCCCTTTGAACCAGCTACTTTGATACACTGTATGTTATTGCAGGCATTTGGAGAGTATAGTCTACTTTGAACCGTTCTTTACTAGTCTCACTTGATGAACAGTCATCGGGTGCTCATTTCACGGGTCATTATGATATGACAAAGAAAAAAGAGATGTGCATAAATTTGTACTCCAGTAAGTTCGAATTACTAGATGGTTTGTGTTGTGAATATCAAATTGCATTGATCTTCCAAACAACTCAATGAAATAAAATAAAGAAACTAATGCTCAAACCAGAGAAATTAAAATTTGTGAATGTGATATACAATGTAAGCAAAGATTCCTCAAACCGCTCGAAAAAGGTCCCAGACCCCTTTAGCAAACCCATAGATCTCATCACCACCTAGTTTACTATCCCCATACAATCTATCGACAAAAGTGATTGGGACCTCTCCAATAGAGCAGCCCATGGCACGCGCCCGTACAATGATCTCCATCTGAAACACATATCCCCGTGATGTGGTTTCAGCCATTAGCGAGCGAAGGATAGAGGTACGATAAAGTCTGTAGGTAAGACAGAGACATCAGAGGCATGAATAAGTGCGAGTCCAATTACTACATAAAGAGAAAACTCACCGAAATGACCCTGTGACGTCGCTGACACCAGGTGCGAGAACAAGAGACGTGAGCAGGTTAGCGCCTCGGCTGACCAGTTTGCGCTTGAGGTCCCATCCGTGAACTCCCCCGCCACGTATGTATCGAGATCCGGTAACCACATCTAGGTTACGCTGCCGTTGAAGGGCGATAAAGGTAGGCAGGAATTTTGGGTGATGAGAAAAGTCAGCGTCCATGATGATGGTGAAGGATCCCGTGCATGCTGAGAGGCCATGCATGTAGGCTGTCCCGAGTCCTAGCTTTCCTGCTCGAGGCCGGAGAATCTGTTCAAAAGATTATGTGAAAGTGCGAGAACGGATGATCAGTAATCCAGACTTGAAGCGTCTATATAGAAGTATTCTCGTGATAGGAATTAAGTGAATGGTGAGAAGAGGGCGGACGATGCGTTGCGGACCGTATAAACGCTGGAGTTGCTCTGCCACCTCTAGAGTTCCATCAGGGGACGCGTCGTCTACGATTATGATTTCCCAGTTCAATGATCTGAGAGAGTCAAGGGCCAGAACAGCATCATCAAATCAGACCACCTAGCATCAAGCTTCTTGATACTAACATCAAGCTTCGCGATGACAACTTACTGCTCGTCAAAAGTGCGTGCTAGGAGCCAAACTATGATGGGTAGATTTCGACGTTCGTTGTAAGTGGGTAGGATGACTGAATATGTCTCTGCAGTTGAAGCTATTGACCATGCAAAAGCTTATTTATCAGCTCATAGTCAATAATGTATGATTTATAAATGATGAATAGAACTGACATTGACTTGAGGAGGAAGCCATCTTGAATGCGCTTTTTGAAGTGAAACAATTCGCTCATCGCCACTTCTCGATCGAAGCTGAAAATTAGAATGCTGGAGAATGTACCGAGACCGAAAGAAGAATGGGATCGGTCGGATATGGGTTCTGTCTCGATCATTCATCCTCAAATTGAAGATACGCATTATCAACTTTTTATAACTTCAAGTCAATATTATCATTAATCAAGCTTAACAAATGCTTCACGTTCACTCGACTAATAATCTCTTCGTACTTGGGTCTCGAATTTCAAAACAAGCCTTCGAATGCAATCTTAACTCGTTTTATTCTTCACGAAAATATCACTCTTTGTTCAAGAAACGACTTCGGCCTCCATCGACAGTCTTAACCACTTCAAGTCCTCACTTTGGCCATTCTTTGTTCACCGGTACATCTAGTTCTCGTTTTCAAACAATCGAGCCTCCTTCCTCCTTGGCCATCAAACTCAAGTTTCATCAGGCTACTTCTATCGTTCACAGCCCAGCATTTGCATCAGGATTCCATTCTAGCGCGAGTGTTGGTACACGGTCTTCAGAAGTCGTAACAGCAGCTAACCCTCCAGATCCCGCGCCATCTTCCTCTCCAGAAACTACAAAAACAACCAAACGTGAAAATATCTACACATTTCCAAACCTGATCACTTGTACACGAATCTTCCTTTGTCCTCTTCTGGCCTATTCTATCATTCATGACTACCACCTACTCAGTAGTATCACTCTGCTCTATTGTGGGGTCTCGGATTGGCTAGATGGTCTACTTGCGCGAAAATATCCAAAACAAATGGCTAGCGTCTTGGGTACCATCCTTGATCCTGCAGCTGATAAGATTTTGATGACCACCCTGGTCTTCAGTCTAGCTTGGAAACAATCATTACCTCGTCTGTCTTTTCCAAACCTTTTTCTCCTCTCACATAAATGACGGTTCCTCGGGCTCGTGTTTCGCGGTTTTCTTGACGGGCTGACGTGATTAATCATTCTCATCATCACTCAGTTCCTCTTGCTGTTCTCATCATAGGCAGAGACGCATTGTTGGGTGTATCCGCTTTTTACTTCAGATACCAATCCTTACCTGCACCTGTATGTGCATCATTTTTTTTCCTTTTGGCCAATTTACGCTGCTTTGAGAAACGAAGGCGAGATTATCTAATTGTGCTTTGATTTAATTATACGCAGAAAACTTTCAAGAGGTTTTGGGATTTCTCCTTACCGTCAGCTGAGGTCAAGCCAACCCAACTTAGCAAAGTTAGTATGTGTCAATATTTTTTTATCAATCACTCGCTCTCTTCCGCCTGTTCTGTAGGGGCAGAGATAGTGGCTCGAAACCCCCTTTGGCGCTCTTTGATACCACGCAAACAATGATCGGATTCCAGCTCACAATATAAAAGTTGATTCTGATGATGTCATGCTCTGTGCATTGAGACATGTAGTATAACACCTTTCTTCAGTTATCACTGGTCGGATTAACCACTATTGATCCGATGATTCCACTCGATCTCTCAACACCTCTTACAATGTTGCAGTTGAGTTACTTTTTGTCTTCAATTGTTATGTCAAGAGAAGGAACCGAATCTCATTCTTGCTCTTTCTTTTCTTGCTGTGATGCGATGATGAACGTGTTTAGATGGACTGTCGCTTTTACTACACTTACATCTGGGATTTCTTACGTGTTTTCGAAGGATGCGATCCGGTATATCAAATGATCAGGTACTCCAGATTGTCATAGTGACCAAGCTCATCTTCCGAATGGAAATGTGTATGAGGTTGTATAGATTTTTCTTGTATCTTTTGTAACAGGACGAGACGTGCTCCCCAGATTCCGCTCTAGTCTTTGAGTGATCAAATGATCAAGATAGGCTTGAGGACGGAGAGCGCAGGGTCCATATTGATGCTAATATTGATCAGACAATAGCGAAACGTGTTGAAGATTGGACTTCTAAGATTTCTTCATCACGATGCATGAGGATAATATTCTTAGTCTTGATATGTAGGATAAATTTTCCATGTTGTTTATCTCGCCCGGTGCAAATAGTCAAAATATACTTTGGCAAGCTTTTTTTCCAAAGTGCAACTCTATTCAGTCAACTTCACAACTTGATTGTCCATTGAATTGTACAGTGCACAATGCTGATACTTCCAAGAGCCCAGGTGCTGAGAAGTATTGGGTCTGCTAGACAAGTCCTAAGGGCAACTTGCATCTCATGAACTCAGGTCAGGCTATGTCGCAATATCATGTATGGCATTTACTACACTATCATTGCTAGAGTCTGAGACTGCTTTCAGGTTCCATCGCTATCTTACATCCCATGGGCCATCTCTAATACTGCAAACACAATCAAGTTTACATCAGTATGATGTACACATCAATTTCCCGAAACCAAAGAACATTTTATATTGCAAAACTGACTTGCTGGCTGAGCCTTTGATTGGCGTGATAGACCGTGGCTGAAGATTTTACACTTTGCTTGTTGGCTTCAACTTGTAAGGTGTTGTGTTGTTGGTTTCAAAGCTACTGTATTCCCAATGTGATATAGTACATGTATGTCTGGGGAACCACTCCTTGACTCTGAGTTGTCTTTAAGGTATCACTTACTGCAAAGGGTGGATGATAGGGGGACTATCAAAGGCAATAGACCCATGGAGCAGGGTATAATGTCAGCTGTAGTATGACATTCTGGACTTCATCCTGATATATCTTCACCCTGTGTTTCTTCACCTTTGCTCATCTGGGGTTTCTTATAGTGTTACATTATCCTACTGATGATATAAAATATGATCCAGTTGATAGATATGAATGGCTTAGACACCTTGTGGGAAAGTTGAAGGTTGACAATTTCCTTTGGCTCAACTTTCAAGATCTTTTGCAATATCTGTTTCTCAAATGTGATGGAGGGGCACATGAGCATAAAATTCTTGTGTTGACAATTGTGAATGAAGAAGGACAACATGAAGAAGGATTCCATGGAAGCATCACTTCCACAACAACAAAAAATTAATTATTGCACACCCCACTGTGATGAAAATGAATCACATGTGCTCACAAAGTGTGATGCATCATTTCAAAAGGAGCGTACTGGCACTTCATATTTGCATTTTTGTTTCACCAAAATTTGATTCCTATAGCAAAATATGCTTACTCAATGTGTGCTTATATCGAGCGGCAACTGTACCATGCCTCTTCCCACACCATGAACTTAGCATGGAACTCAATGACTCAGACACAATGTGGTGGAACATATACTTTACTGATCAAGATTGGCAATCTAGGATGGTAGATTCATTGTCAGGAAATTTCAATTAACACAGGATCTGTGCAAAGATTTGTATCCAATGATACCTTGATTTCCTCAACCTGAGCTATCTATGTTGGTGGTGCATTCACAAGAGTAGGAAGTTTTGCAGGGTTTTATATGACAGATTTCTGAATACCAAGGATGATCAATTTTTATGTTCATGTTTGGGCAAATTACTAGTGGTCAGTAGAGGAGGTCAAAAGTAGGTAAAACCCCCCAGATGACTCAAACTCCTATGTAGACCATCTCCATTTCCTACATACTAAACTACAGGGCTTGGAGGAGGTCTCTAGGCTACTGTGCAACCTCAAGCTTTGTAAAAACTTTTGCAACTCAGCGTATCATTGAGATACTTGAGTTGGATCCCAGGAAAGTCAAAGGAGAATACTAAAGCTGACTTGGTGCTGGTCACACTGACTACCTGGACTCAGTCCAAATTTTATCATCAAAATCTCTCTACCCCACATCATGCCACATCTAGGTGGTCACTTGGCTTTTTCAGGAATCAAGTGCACAGTCACACCCCAGACATCATCAGATCTGTCCCCTCCTATCCTGGCAATGTGAGCTTGGATGTGGATATTTGAGTCACACAAGCTGCTGCCAACCTTTTCTTACTTTGGAAACAACAATGGCTAATGTGGTATCTGATTGTACACATGACATGAAAACATATCATGTGTACACACCGCTTGCCAAGTTGCAAGTTAAATTTGATGACTTGGCTAAATTTGAAATAAGTCCCTCTTGAGCGAACAATACAGCTGATTTTCGGTACCTTGACTAGTCTTGGAATTCATTCACGAACACGTCCTGCTGCGTATTTCATAGGCGTTTGTGATTTTCTATATCAGCTCTATTCACGCGAAATCCTATTTTATTTGCACGATTTGCCGTCACACGGAGACTAACGAACATCTGAAGACCACGGGTTACATACTCCTGCCTTCCTTTGGGTTTATTTACACTCTCCTTGATTTGGCCTCCTACCTCAACAGGAGTTCTTAAACTTTACATTACTTTCGGTGAGATTGAAGAAAACTACCACTTTCATTTCTTATTCCATTGGCTATTTCACGTCAAATCGCGTTGTCTGATTCTGGTTTTCTCTTCCTGCTTTTGTTGTTCAGCTTAAAGAATTTTATACCTCTTCGGAATACCTCAAAATGTCATCCAGTGAGACTATTGAAATCTTGCGGGCCGATTCCCAAGATACCTTGTCTCCAGATGAATGTTCAACTTGTCTCTTCGATGGTACGCCTCAATCAGGAATGATAGAAGAAATATCCACATCAGATGACACGGACAGCTACCGGGTGATTGATGAACCGATCTACGGGACCATAAGAATCGATTTACCATGCGCGATTGAGATTATGGAGTTACCTACATTTCAAAGGCTCAAGAAAGTATTACAACATGGCATCACTGCTCTTATTGGTTGTGTACCATCTCCAGCAGTCAATCGATTCGATCATAGTGTGGGTGCCATGCTTCTGGTGAAGCGAACTGGAGGAACAGAGGAAGCCCAACTGGCTGCATTACTTCGTTAGCATCTTCTCCCAACGATAGCAACATATTCAAGAAGAGGCCATTCTAACAATCTAGTGGTTTTCTTCACGCCAATACCTGAAAAACTTGGTACTTCTTCAGACGATGTTGCTCATACTACTTTGAGCCATGTACTTGATCTAGGTCAGAACCATCCTCTCCTGTCAATTGATGGAGCCATTTAGCATTTTCACTCATTTTTATATCTTTGTATGTTTACCGCATCTAGTTTATGGATATGTCATTCACGAGTAAGTTTTCAAGAAATCCACGATGTTGCAGTTCAAAAGCAGCTTGCTAAAGTTAGATTGGTCTTTAACCTCATGTCTGTCTTGCACCGATCAGAGTGGATAAACCCGAATATATCGCTTCTACACCTATTCTCGAAGTGTTGACCAGGCATGGCTTTGATCCAGAAAGAGGTGCGGAAATTGTTTTTTGGCTTGCAATCTGTTACAACCCCATATTTATTTTACTTCCACTTCTTTTTTCGACCTCACAGTACTCAATGAAGAGAACTTCAGACTCCTGGAACTACCAAAGCCTGACTTGTGTGCCGACCGATTGGACTATAGCCTAAGAGATTCGGTCGCTTTCCATATTCTCACTCGCGAACAAGCTCGTAGTATCCTTGAATCTGCTGTCAATTATGAAGGCCAAATAGTGCTTAATTCGATCGAAAGTGCATCATTGCTCGCCAATGCATATCTCTCATGCGATGAATACTCTTGGGCTAATCCAACCCACGAGTATTTGTATCAACTATGTGCTAAAGCCATCAGGGAGAGTCTTAATGATGGCCATATCGATAAAGCGTGTCTCTGGAAATTAGGTGATGAAGAATTCTGGTCCAATCTAGCGTCACGGGCGACTCCTGAAGTTCGAAGCATTATGGAGAAGATTGATAAGCGTTGTAAAGTATCTGAGTGGGATGAATCAACAATGAAGTCTGAAGCTGATGATAACAGTGTTTGTGAATTGAAACTTAGAGTTAGGACTATAGACCCTTTGGTATTAACCGAGGATGGACCCCAACGTTTAAGTTGTTTAGATCCTGATTTTGCTGAACGACGTGAAAAGTATATCAAGTCAAGAGAAACCGTTCAAAAATTTGTAGTGAAATATACATCGTGATGTTAGATTGATTCTAGATATTCTTTCGTGTTAGTTATTCTTGAAAGGACGTATTGTATTTTTTATTCTTTTCGCTTGTTGTGAGATCAGGTTGTTTGTATTGTGATTGCTTTGAGTTGGAGTGCATGATTTGTTTCATTTCTAGAAGGAATCAATCCTGTGAGTCATTTGGAACATTTAAGCTATTAATTCCATGCTAAAGATGTTTGAGGATTGGAGAGTAGTGAGTCAAGAGAGAGGAAAGATCGTAGAAAGAACAAGGATAAAAGAAGATATAAGAGAAGCCTCGAGCTTTGAGTTGAAGATGTGTGATTGGTTGATCTTTTCGGCACAAGGGTCTTGGGCTAGAACCATGAATCACACACACCCGTCCTATCTCTGTGTAATCGAGGTTATGGTTTTATGTAGGGTTGAATCAAATTCCAAGGTGATATCATTTTAGATCACATTCACATTCACAACATCCTTCACCCTTCAAGTTGTTCTCAAAGAACTCAAAGAACCTCAGAGAAATTGAAACACCGATTGCAAGACGAAAAGGAATTATAAGCAAATCCATCAATGACATGACATCGTTAAATCCAAGTCAAAACAAACTTCAAACTGAAAATCAAACCATCCCATCAGATTTAATTTCCAGTTCACCTTTAACAAACACTTCAAACTCAAACTCATCATATCCTAATTACCTTCAATCTCAATCATCATCGACACTTTCTCAATCTACTCCTGAATTATATGCTCATGATCCTTGGTCTTCTCCTACTCATTTAACCAAAACTTTCTCATCTTCTTCAATCAATGAACCCTTCACTTTACCTAACAAGATCGAAGGTCATATCAGTTTAGTTGGTTTCCTCATCTTCAATGCCTCAGAAATGCTAATCTTGTATCTTACTATATAGGTGAAGCCGCTTTACCCAACGTCTATCATCAAGCTTTCAATGCTGCTGACCCATCTGCTGGAACAATCTCACTCGCTAATGCTCATCGGGTTCTCGCTAGTAGTGGTGTAGGTGCAAGTACAATCGAGAGAGTCAGTACCTCTTCCCTTATTCAGCTTGAATTCCAACAAATGCTGAGTAATGATGTCACACTTTAATCTTTCAACGTAGATATTAAGCGTGACTTCTGATCACCGCTCTTCACGACTCACTAAATCAGACTTCAGCATTGCTCTGGCTGCAGTTGCTTTCTCACAGCAAGGAAAACCGCGTAAGCTGAAGAGCTGAGACGTATCTCCAGAAAGACATATGGACAAAGAAACTAACGATCCATCTTTGTGACATTTAGCTCGAGCAGTCCAACAGCTCATATCTCGCAATGCGCCATTTCCAATTCCTACCCTCGACTTTGGCCCACTGGTGTTAACCTCGCCAGCAAGGTCGAGCTACAACCGCCGTTCAGCTTCTCCTGAAGATCCTTGGTCTAGCTCCACAATCAAATCCAGAACAAATGTATCCTCTACCATCACCAACGGTTTACCATTTGTGGTCGAAGAACAAGAACCACTTCTTGGATTTGGTCTTGAGACTAGTCTACTACCTGAGGGTACCACCAATCTTAGCTCTCAGTTCTTACCTCCCTTCGATCGGTTACAACAAGATTTGGTGACAGTCCGACTGAGCGCTCCCGAAGGATGGATCTTAAAGTATAATGTTTATTCTGTCGATCATGAAAAGAAAGGGACAAGTGTACCCAGGAGGTATAGTGACTTTGTATGGCTTCACGAATGCCTCTTGAAACGGTATCCGTTCCGGTTGGTACCTGGTTTACCTCCGAAACGTATCGCAAGTTCGTTTTCCACTCATCAACTCTCGCATTTGGCAATACCATCTTTTTTATCGTTAAGCTTATTCTTGTGACATCTCCTATCACCAGTCTCAGGGCATCATCTTGCAACAGGCGACGAGACAGCATTCATCGAACGACGTCGCCGAGGTCTCCAGCGCTTCCTCACCTATCTCGTGAACCACCCTGTCCTCTCCGCCGATAATATTCTTAGCACATTTCTCTGCGAGCCGTCGGACTTGGCGACTTGGCGCTCACATTCGACAGTTCATCTCATTGAAGAATCAGCAGTTATTCGTCTGACTCCCGCCGAGGAGATGTCAATTCCAGAAGATCTTGATAGTAGACTCTCTGGGTTCAGGTCACGACTTCCATTGATTGTAGAACATTGGAGTCGAATTTGTGCAGGATTGGAACGAGTGACAAGACGATATGAAGCACAGGCTGCAGACTTTACTAGGATCCAACTTGCACTTGGATCAGCAGTTGAAAGTGAAAGAACAGGATCTGGAACAGTTGGACATGCTTGTTGGAGACCTGCAGAAGCTAGAAGAGCAGAAGATGAGATTGAAGTAGTAGCACATCATGTGGGAAAACATTCTGATTTATTAGATCGACGAACCAGAAGACTTGCACTTTCTACCAATGAAGAAGTAAGAGCGCATCGAGAGTTATATACTGATTTTGGAGGATTATTCAATAGATTAGATAAATTAAGTATAGATGATGTAGATAAAAGATTAAAACCTCGAGCCGAAATGAATAGTAAAAAATTAGAAGAAGTAAGAAATTTAAGAAAATCAGGATGGGAAGAAGAATCGGATAAATTACGAAATTTAATTGAAATCGATAGAGCTGGAATCGAAAGTAAATTAAGAAGAAGAGTATTCATCCGATGGTGTCTTTGGCAAGAATGGATTCATTTGATGAGAATGGGTAGTTTGATTGGTAAAGGATTAAGAGAGTTTGTAGATGATGAAAGAAGGTTTGGTGAAAGAGCTTTAAGTAATTGGGGTGAAGTTTCAGATGCGATTGAAGGACTTGTTAGATGATGAAGATGAGGAACCTACCCCTCCCATGAAAAAAATTGGTTTATGATTTTTGTATTAATTTTTTTGTGTTTTTGGATAGAAATTTCAGTAGGGTGAATTTGGAATGGACTGTTATGTATCTATAATCTTTATTTTTCCTTCAAGTTTAATGATTGTTTGTTGGTTTTCTCTATCTTTGTCTCTTATGCACTGCTTTCTTAAATGCTCGTAATTGTTTTTTTTCAATAAATCGTATTTCTTCTCCTTCTGTGTCTTGGCATACTTCATGATTGACTTGCTTTTCTATGAACAGAGAGGTTTGGTGAAATTTATCTAGAGTGCTTTATGAAGGACCAACATGCATCTAAAGTGATAAAATCAAAAACAAGAATGGGATGGTCAGACAAGGTTTTCAGTTTTTGAAGTTTGTTGCGCTAATTTGCAATTTATTGATTTGTACAAAACTTATTAAACACTGATTTGAAGACACCTTGAGATGTCAGCTCTGTTGCAGTAAATCATTTTGATAAACAGAGTATACAATCAGATATGTATGGGCTGAAATGATTTGATACCTTTTCATACTGTGTCATGGAGATGTTGTCCATTGATGTCAAAGGGGCACAATAGGGTTTACAAACAGGATAGAAGTTCAAGTTATTTCACGCAAAAATGTTGAACATGGTGTGCATGAGTCAGAGTGGGATTTGAGCAGGTTATAACTGATCAATGATCATGATGCACCAATAATCAATCATTTATGATTATTGTGAAATTAGGATTAGTCAACAATGATCATCAATGAACCACTCACAGCACCATAAAAATGGCCCCTATCTGTGCTATCACAGTACACAGATCATCTTCAATTATGTGATTTTAAATTGGAAGAACTCTTCTGCATGATGTTATGGTCCAGGTAATATGTGAATCATATAATTCAGATAGTAAAGGAATGAAATAAATTGATCCAAAGGTTATGCATGAAGGCTAGGCCCTCGCCCCGGTCGATCCCCGTCCCCGAAACCGGGGACGGGGATCATTCCCCGAATTAGGGGTCGGGGAATGATCCCCGCCCCCGAAATCGGGGATCGGGGATCAATCGGGGAATTTCGGGGAATAGAGCATTTTCCCAGAACAAAAAACAAACGATCGTCCATTACCCAACAAGATACCTTCACCGATATCATCTAACCTCAAACAAGATCAAGTGGAAAGGATCATTAGATCCTCACATTCTTCAAAAACCAATCAAAAAAAATATTCAAAATGGAAGCATGTCAAAAAAGTTAGGTTGTAAATTAGTAATCCAATCTCTATCATGATTGATTCATCGAATCATCATTTTTGAACGTTTTGAGCTAATTCTTTTGGATTTCATCATCCGTTCACTTTTAGATTCCTTTACCCAGATATTTAAATTCATCCGACTGTATTCACTTCAAAAATCATCATACTGACTCAAAAGACAAAATTCATCGAGTAGTGATTCAACCTTGCCGATTTGTTTTTTTTGTTGTTCTAACTTCTTGAAATGCAATCCAATTATGAAGGAATACATTATATCAAGTTTTGATAGCTTTACTTCAAGATCTCCTAAACTTTGATCGATGTGATTCTTTTGATGTGGAAATGAGATTGAAGTGATTCTTTTGTTTTGGAAATGAGATTGAAGTGAACTGATCAGTTCTAGTTTTGATAGTTGTGCTTCGAGATCTTCTAAGCTTTGATCGATCTGATTCGAATTCACCACTACGTGCCGAGTTCATGATCCTTTAGGAGTCATTTGAACTTCAAAGACTCATCTGACTACGATTCTTCATGATCCATTCGGGGAATCCCCGGCATTCCCCGATCCCCGTCCCCTAAATAGGGGACGGGGATCGCCCCCCGTCCCCTAGGGGTAACTTCGGGGATCCCCGAATCATTCGGGGACGGGGCGAGGGCCTAATGAAGGCTCATGATACGTGGAATATATGATGGCTAAGTTGAAGAATTGAAAGGTATATGATGTGGTTAGTGCTGACTTTGGGGTTCTTGAAGCAAATGTTTTTGACATTAATTTGTTCAGAGAATGATTTGAATGATAGACAAAGCATATCTTGATCATTTGTTCCATTCTTACAAAAATTGTGTAAGAGCTTGAACAGATAGAAAAAAGAGGGTAGGCCAAAGAACACACAATATGACTTGATTGATAAAGCCAAACAAGGGCCAATTTCCAGACAAAGCAGACCCAAGCACACAAACAAGTGCCATACCGCAAGCCTTTGCACAACCATGGCCTTCAAGACTACAGAGCTGCATCTGAGAGCACCAATGAGTGGGACAAGTCATGGTACATTGAATTCTAGATGGATTGAAGCTGAACCATTCCCCATGGTGATTTCAGGATCATGAATACCCAGGAAACACTTCCTTGATGGTCCACTCAGAGCAGGTAATTATGA